AGTTCTTGAAATTTTATGGATCAATGAATGCAACGTCAGGGTGTAACGAAATCGTAATACCTCAAATATTACTCTTGTATTCCCTTTTAGATTTCAAAATTTGAATGCTAGATCGTATTTCCCTCTAGATTTTTGTAGAAACTAGAAACGTATCGAGTTGCAAGCGTATTAAATCGAGAGGCGTAGAAGATATTGCTAACAATTTTAGTCGATCACATCTGTACTATGAAGTTTTGAGAACTCGGTATTTGGAGGCTACAGTTAGAGATCATTTGTTTATATCTGATCTATAAAATATTATCTATCCACATTCTGTACAACCAAAAAAAAAAAATGCACTGAATGTAGTCAGTTGCATAGCATTTACAGGGTTTTCATACTTACAAGTTACTTTTAAAGATTAAGATAAAATATTACAGCCTTTATAACGGTCTTCTTTCTAAAGAGAGACACACATGGTAAAAAGACCATAGTCTCTGGGCAATCAAAGACGGCACTATATATAGATTATAAACAAGTATTTCTAAATAGGGTTTACAGGGGGTTGAGAAAGAGCAGACGTGTAAAAATCTAGTTATTTCAAGACTTCAATATTCCAATGAACATTTTCAACTTTGAAAGGCAACGCATATTTCTTTTAATATTATTTAATGTAAATATGAATTTTTTTTTGTTTATACAATCCTTTTTACTTCATTTATTGTTAACATTGTACTTAAGATAATTCATATATTTCATTATTTAATTGTGATCGATTAATCATCAATTATTTAATTGTGAAGTACGTGCTGTACACATACATTTCTAAGAAGCTTTTACCAAAAATATTTATTTCTATTTTAGTGGTGTGTGCTATATTAATATATTAATTATAAAATTTATAATTATATTTATTATAATCCGTCAAATTAAGTAATAATATATTTACAACGATTATTTTAAACGCCTAAAACTATATTTATACCATTTTACTAGAAATTCATTAGAATTTCAAATTTTACAATTTTTTTATAAATATAAATGTGTGTGCGTACATGAACACATTTATAACTTTGTGCTGTTTTATTCTCTTTTTTTTTTTTTTTAACTTTACTGTTCTCTTTTTACGGGAGAAAATTACAAATTTATGAGAAGGAATATAATAAAACATATAATACTGCACATACAGTGAATATATCATGCTGAGGAAGTTAGCATAATAGTGATATTAAACGCAATAATAAAAACTTAGGGTTATACGTTGTAAGATCGAGCTAGATTATTTCGTACTGAAATACGGTACAGAATTCTCTGTTTTATATTCATTGCGTTACCTGTGTGCGGCAAATAATCAAATTAATATTTACAATCAAAAATCATGAATACAAAGATTATTGCCGTCGTTAACCAAATTCGTAAGCGTTGAAATTGCCGGACAATACGTGTAAGATGGATTACAGATGGCATCAGCTTTGTACCACGATACCAAAAGATTCTATCGTTTTTCGATATCTAAGAAAGCACATGTCTTTGAGATGGCTTTTTTAGATATTGGATATCTTTAAGAATCGTTTTGCTGTAAAGTTGTCCTGCTGCTGTATTCTTATCGCATCTTACGTTATATCATTCCTTGAATTGAAATATGGAATTGTTTCCATTGGGCCAAACTTTAATACATCGCTATTTTTTATCGTAAAAGAATACTTTGTACTCCCAAATCTTACGTCATATCATTCCTTGAATTGCAATATGGAATTGTTTCCATTAGGCCAAACTTTAATACTAATCACTATTTTTTATCGCAAAAGGATACTTTTTACTCCGAAAACTTTAATCTGCCTGTGTTCCACGTACAATACACTGTTATAATAGCATTAAAAAAATCTATACAAGTCTATTGCAATATACATTGATTTATACTAAAGACATATAGTGTTCTTTCACAATGTATAAATAACGCGCAACTGATTTTATATAAATTATAAAAGTATTAAAGTAGTATTATTATGCAAGACTGAGAAATAGTTGGTGTAACGAACGGTAGAAAATATCTACAGCTAGAATGTATAATTTATCTGTACAGGCCTACGCGCGATTCGATCATTTGTACGACTTTCAGTTTCTCTGTTCACTCGCAAGAAAAGATATTCGCCAATAACACCAATTAACATGCAAACTGAAATATTCTTTTCGGCCACGCTTGAAGAATGTATAGAAATAATAGCTTAACTATCATCAAATAGATACACAGTAGAAGCCTTAACGAAGTACTGTACACAAAAACGATTTATAGAAAGTGATACGCGGCGACGCATTGAATTACGACGAGGTTGCGTATTTATCGTCTATTAGATATTTTACGCAAGCATAACGGTACAGTTGAATTTATATTTCTCTTTACGCTCCCGGCTTTGCGCTCCCGGAGAATTCATAGATTGTAATATCTTCGAGAATGTATTCATAAAGATAGAGCCGTCATTATACCCCATGATCTGCATGTACGCGTTCGCATGCGGACACATACACGCGCGCGATAACGAAGCGAAATTTGTATGCGTATAAGAATGTGTTGGATGCGAAATTCTCTTGTGAATCTACTTATTGCACGAGTGATCTTCTGTTTTTTCTACAGTTTTTTTTTATATCCATGCCTTCGTATCTACGCATTTTAAACAAACGTATATTCTTGTAGTAATGCATTATTGCGTTAAAGTGTCAAATTATTTTGACCCGGTGATCAATTTATCAATCAAACGTCTTTTGTTTTAAGAGTATCGTGCGTGTGAAGTAGGATGTCACTCGTATAAACACATGCTAGTCAGGAAGTACTATATCGTAGTCATATATTTTTACTGCAAAGGAACTATATATTATGCATAGCCTAAAAATTAAGCACATGTGCGCTGATTTGTCTCGCTCTTGGAAATGTCTTCTAATTCGGTAGAATTATGGACCAAGTATTTGTTAATGTGTATGCAAAAGGAATTTAATCGTATTTTAGCCTGATACATAACTTTCTGATCGGCGATACTGTAATAAGAACATATTAATGTCCAGTAAAACTGCAGTTTGGAGTACATTTTTTCTCATTTACCCAAACTGCATATATTAGAAATTTTGAAAATGAATTGTTCTCACAATCGTTGTGAGACTTAATTTTGTTTCTCTCGTTCACAAATGAATGCTCTTAATTATTCTGTCCTATTTATTGCTCTTATCACAGTGCGTCGATTACATTTTGATATAAAAATTGCAACGTTTTAATTGCTATACTTTAATTATCGCCCTATGAAAAATTATTCGAAGTAACTTTGGTAAAAAATAAGTCGAATAACTTATAAAGTGTATTTAAAAAAATACATGTGCTAGCTTTTAAGCTACAAGAAACCATATCTAAGAATTTACTAACGATAATGATTATAATTGAACATAATATATAAATATAAAATATAACTAGAGATAAGTTTCAAAGGGTATTACCGATGCTCTATTCATAATCGATGTACATAGTTTTGGTGTAGCATTAGTATATTAAATCTTTTATTTTGTGATTCGGAGGGTGACATCGTCGGCGGAAGCGAATTTCAATTGTACATAATATACACGTATTACGATGAAATGCGCTCAAAATATTTCCAAACGATTTTATATTAAAATAATAGCGCTTTGGTTACTCTGTGAGTACAGTTTACAATTATATTGGAATATACGCATTAATCCGATTTAGGAAATATACATTCCCAAAATTATACGATATCGATTGTATAGATTTCGTATTTTTACTTTTGTTTATTTTTACACCGCTTCGTTATATACTTATAGTATACAAATATCAGAAATTAAGACTGGCTACCTTTCGTCTCTTGTGCTATCACATGCGAAAAAAGCTGCTTTGAAATGCAAAGCTGATCCAAAATCATTCCAAGTTCAATATAGCTTTTCATATCTGATAAGAAATATCTCTACAATTGCCATTATCAATTGTTCAACTGATCTCATTTGGCGTGCAGTAGCGTGTATTTACAATAAGAAAAGTGATAAAATCACATGTCCGAAAAAAAAACCAAAAAGCTATTTCTTTTGACAATCTGTTCTAGAAATGAAATTCTCCTCGTGTTTTAGCGACACGAAGAAACCGTCAAAGTGCTGGTGCTTTTGCACTGCATTGATCATCTGTACATCAGTTTGACGAAAAGAAAGAATAAGATAATATTTAGAGAAATTTTATATATAAGTTAAGAGAGAAATCGTCCGTCAGAAAATAATTTTTCCCTCCCTGCATACAAAAAAAGTGTATACCGATGGCAAAATTATACAGTTAGAATAAGTTATTGCTAATTTTTTGTTTAAATTATGTGGAACATATCTAATATTAATTTCTATTGGTCTTAAAAAAAAATGATATTAACATAATCGAAATTGAATTTATTGAAATGATGATACTCAGGTCATTAATTTACATCCATTGAAAAATTTGAACCAAAGACATGTTGATCTCAGATTTACATAAACTATTTCCCGCTATTTGTATGCACTTTTGAGTATAACTTATTAACGGAAAGATCCATGGTATAACAGGCATACAGTATTCTAAAATGCGCTTTCAAGTGACAGGTAAGACTCTGTTATTGAGAGATTGAAAAAGTATATAAAGACCTTCTTTATTTTCTGAAATTAATATATTGAGATTGTCACTAGGCCCATCACGCGCAAGATCGTAAGAGGAGTGAAATATAATTATAAGTAATGACTAACGGAGCTTATATATCAAATTCTAGAACGCGCATTTCATGGAAAAAAAAAATAAAATTATTTACTCTGAATTTTTGTAATCGCGATAAGAGGATAAGCGAGGATGGAGGAAATTAAATTAAATTATTATAGTGCGTCCTAAGTAAATTATAACTCGTATAGCAGTTCATAGTAGCTGAAGTCATTGATTTACACTAAGAAAGTAGAGGAAATAAAGAATTTGAAAAATAAATTTGTGCCCCCTGTCATTTCCCGAATCCACGAATTTCATTCAATATGTTAATGTTGTAATATAATACGATAAACTTAAGATACTTTTGCAATGTAAATAAAACGGCGAAAGAAAATACGAGCCATTCGCACGTGTGCAGCTGAATAAAAGTCCTGCAAACGAAATATTCAACAAGACTTTTTAGTTTATTAATGATATATAGCATGTAACATATTAAAGCATGTTCACAATAATATTGACAATGTGAATAATCTATAGCTCCAATCTCTTTATTTCTCTCGCACTTAACTATATTTTTATTACACAGATATACTTCACAAAAATACAGTTTCGAATATTTTCTATTTTTATAGGAGTAGTGTGAGTAATAAAAATATCGTTTCACAAATGTTCGATTCCATTGTAGGCTCGTTAGTGTAACTTGAATATTTTTTCTCTCTTAATTAAATAAGTTTTTTTTGTCATCACAGTTTACTTCTTTTCTAATATCAGGACGCAGTGCTTGAAATAAGACGATTTATACGATCAATTCAAAGAAAAGTTGCGCGATCTAGCTAAAAAATATACAGATAATATCCATAGAGGCAAAAAGGCGTGAAAACATGTAAAAATAAAAAAAAATATACATAATGAATAACACGTGTTACATTCTTAATAAATTGCTTTTCTCTATAAATGGAAACAATATAACAATACGTAAATCTTTGTTGTAAAATTATACCCCTCTCTCTGTCTCTCTCTCTCTCCTCCTCTCTCTTTACTTTCTGGCACAAACGTTAATTTATAAATTCATATATCTGTACAAAAATAAATAGCAGCATTTATAAGCAGATTAAAGACAGAATCGCATTATCTATACACATTTTGATCCTTCTATTGTTCAAGTATAATCTTCGGTCGAGTTAACTTGTTTCTCTTCGTATCACGATTCTCCATGCTGTATAGTTTCTATTTTTATAGTTAAATTTATCAGTATCTCTCTAAATTTTGTAAGTTCTTGATATATGAAAATGTTCTAAAACAGTGTAGACGTGTTTGCTTGCATATAGAAATAGGTAACGAGGCATCGGAGCGCAAAAAACTAGATTGCAAAAAATATTTTCATATGTTAAGCATATGAGCGCGATTACGATATTGGTGTTCTATACAATCGTCGATATTTCTCATAGTGTATCTTCTACTTTCTATCTAAACTTAACCGAGCTAAAGCCATCATTATTTAGACGTGCAAAGAAATATAATGTTGATTGTTCGCCAAGGACCGAAATTATTCAATGCATTCAGCATAATGCAATATATACATATATCAAAGTTATTTGCGTGAAATAACTTATTTTCTGCAGATTTTCGGCACTTTTGTGGAACTTGATTTAAGTCGTAACATATATGCGTGTTGAGAGAACTAAAATTTTTACAAATACAACTTTTATCGTAAATCATGTACGGAGCTAACAGGTTTGGTATCTGCGGATATTTGTACATAAGAGAAACAACAAAAATAGCCATAAAAAATCTTATGTATATAAGAGAGATTAAAAAATATTGTCGCTGTGAGAACTTATTATAAATTTACATGGGAGAACTCTAATTATTATATTAAAACTAACGTAATAAAATGTGCACAACGCAAACTTCCAAATCCGTATTTTTTTTCTCCACAATACATCCCCCAAATGCTTTACACGCTAAACCTTTTAATTAATTCAATGGCACTTGCATTGTAAAGCTTACGTAATGTATATATATATATATATATATAAAATATGTTAAAAGAGGTATATTATCTATTGTGATCTTTTTTGCGAAGAGAACTATCAAATTTTGAAGAAATTTAAACAAAATTGGAAATATATTTTATTTAACAACTCAATAATTAAGCTTTATTCTTAAGTTTAATAACTAAAAATTAATTTAAATGTAAAAAAAAAACAACGTAGATTAAAGAAAGATAAAGTTATCTCATATTATTTATATATCCAACGCATAAGTCGAAAATTCTGAATATTAAGTAAAAGACAACAATTGAATCTTAGATTAAATTTTTGCAAAACATGACTGCGATAATAGAGTCAAGTATATACCTTTTTTAAAACATTTTGTACATACAAATAGATAATGCCTTTGAAACTTTATACATCTCACAATATATCATTAACAATAATTCTCTTTGGCTTAAAATGTTTTACAATGTTTCTCGGCCAAGTATATCTAAAAGTTCAATTAAGACTTATCCGAGTTTATCTAGCTTATATAAAACTTAAAATTTATACTCCTTTCATAATTTCGTTGAAGTTGTTCCACTAAATTTAACTTATATCAATAAAACTGGCAACAGCAGCAGAATTAAAAAATTTGAAACGTACTATTTTAGAGTCATATATATCTCTTCTTTACAAGCATTAATAAAAATGTCAGAAGTTTATATTTTTATGAAAATGCAAAATACGTATATTATCTTTTTTTTTTCATTTATACCACAATGAAGCTTTTTCTAGAATATAAAAAAAAAAGCTTCTATTGAAGAAAAAATGATTAGCAATTGCCGTCAGACGAAAAAATGATAGTTGACTAAAATTTAAAACAGAATAAAAATATCATTGCTTTCTGCCTTAATCCTCATCAAAATGAATAATTTGTATTGGAAGTATTTACTTATTTTATAAAACCTTTTTCTGTTTTTGGAAAGAATAAAGCGTGTCTGAAAAATAGAAGATATACATACTTTGCATCGTTCCAAAAATATTCATTTTTAATTTAACACTTTGTATATATATAAATATAGTCATAACTTGAGATGCGTACAACATAAATGAATTAAACGTTCAGACAATTTTTCAACGTTTAAATTATTAATATCTTGTTCCCTTCCTTTTTTTATTTGTTGATATGATTTAATACAATAATTTCCCATCTTTTTTTAAAATTTATATAGAAATAATCTTTTTATTAAATTGTAGTCTTTATATTTCTTCTTGATCAATATCTTTTATATAAATAATGATAAATATTAAATTAAAAGATAATAATAACAATTATATATTGAAGCAATTTATATATAAATAATATCTTTGATTACGATTTAATGCATTTATTAAATTGATTTAAACTAATCCATTAAATTGATTAAAATAATATAAATTTTTTTTTATAGTTGATAAGAATTATAGGTTGGAAGAAGATAATTAATATGTTCTCAAATCATGACTATATCTTAGATCTTTTATAGACTATATCTATGCAGACTAGACTCTAGCGCTCTTGCTATCAGAGTAATCTATTTTCATTTAATCATTTTTTTTTTTGTATCCTAAGCTCTAAAATTCAGTTCCTCAATAACAACCATTTTTTAATGCTATTAACAATTTATAATCTTATTTTAAGAGGCCAATATCGCTAAATATGCAGCTTTTAATTAAAATATAAACAAAATATCTCTATATCTCTTTCTTCACAATTTATAATTTTTAATGGCAAAATCTAAAAAACAGTCTTTCAAGACAAGCTTGCATACTTTTTTCTTTTAAATATAAAGTCACGATGCAAGATACCCTTAAGGCATAAAAACGTCTATTTTTGTAATAAAATAAATAAAATAAAAGAAAAAAAAGAAAAAAATCGCATATTATCATCATCTCGCGTAAGTACATAGGGCCATTTCACAGGCAATGAATATTACATTAAATATAAATATTCTTAATAAAATACATCTCTCTCTTATCGCCAATCAGCAATTCGCCAAGCTATTTGTATGAATAATTACATTCAACTTCAAGCTAAAAACAATTAGGCAAAATATTAAGACTTTAATAATCATCTTAACGCTTCTAGTATTATCAATTGCATAGAAAATATTTGGTTATTTGTTAATTTTAAGAAAACGATAATTTACCTGTATTAGTTTAATATAACGCAACGCACTGTGTAGAAAAGGCACGATGCAGAAAAATTGCCATGTTACTCGGTGAGTTTATAAAAATATACCCTGTTTGGTGAATTAGAAACAATGCTAAAACCGATGTATGAATAATTCATATATAAAGCCAATACATCGTAAACTTAATTTCATTAGTGCCAATATGCAAGTAAAGTTTGTACACATTCCTTAAAACAATTCGTTTTTTAGGCCACGGCTTTTCCGTCATAATTTTGTCGTCTATATGACCTTTGATTTCTTGAGACTTTTCGCAGAATAAATTTTCAATAATGTTGTACATCAAGATATGTGATTTTGAATTGATAGTGTTAACAGTATGTACACACACTTTAGTTCGAAACTAAATAAAATCTGGCAATAGCGATCTACCACATGTGACATCGGCTTACAAGACAGACATTGAACATTACAAGGACTATACGTTCACTTACGACACCATGTTTGCAATGTTTGAAGAATCAGTTGCGTGGGACGAAATTGTCAGAATCAAATTTATACTTAATTGATGGCGAGCTTCGTAAAGAAATCCCCCAAAAAGCTGGACTATTCCCTTTAGTCGATTCGCTGCTTTTGTAACTAAAATTGAAGCTGCAAAACTCATCGTATAGTATGATCGCTAAATGCAGCCGTGAAAGAGTCGTAGAAATTGTACGAGAGAATCATACGTTTCATAGTTTCTTCATCAACAGGTGAATGGGATATCTATCTCTACTTCTCGATGTACCTCCTGCGCTACTCTGTGCCGTTTGCGAATGTAATAGCATCCTACATAATTTGTCGACTTCCTCGTCGCTCGAGCTAAACCTATTTAAATGTCTGTCGCTGGTGGAACTATGCGAGTCGTCACAGTTCTCGATGTCAAACCTGAATCGCGAGTCCACGTGCACGGGGCTGGATGCCCTGGTGGTGGGCGCGGTCCTGCTGCGAGTCCCGGCGTTTCTCAAGGGGATCTTGCTGAGGCCCTGATTGTGATTCACGTCCAGCGTCGAGAAGTATCCTTTTATAGCCCGACGCACGGTCGTGTGATCCTCCAGGCTGTGACGCTTCACGCTCTGCTTCATTTCCTTCGTGTCGGTGAGTTTCAAACTAAAATTCGTGGAATGACGTTTGGTGCGGTCCAGCGTGCACTTGGAATTGGTGAACTTTAGCTTGTCCTTGTCGAACGACAGAGAGTGCCTCTTCAGCTTCTCGTCCAGAGACCTTTCTTGCCCGGCGTCCCAGCCGAACCTGGTCCTTCCGTGCGACGCGGAATACCTCTTGGTTCTCGCGTCAGTCTTGGACAATTGGTCGCTCAGATTTTCCTTCATCATGCTACGCCGCTGCAGGCCGTCCTCGTAATCTATCGACGTCGGCGCGCTTCTCGACGGATCGTTATCGCCGATCCTGCATTTCATGCAGTCGTCGTATTCGACGGAGGAATGTCTCTTGAACTTGCCAACTTTGTCAAATTTCATGCTGCTAGTCCCCGCTAGTCGCCTAGGCTGAACCGTGTTGCTCGGTCGTCTTCTCGCCGCGATGAAATCCTGCAGGTGCGGGATTTTCGACGCGCCTTGGGAAGTGGAGAATTGCGCGGGTATCCTGATACCGGCGTCCACCAGGAACTCATCGTCGGACTGCATCGCGGATATTTCCGGCATAGAGCTGAAAGCCCAACAGGAGTTATAGTGAGCCCTGTTCGTTAGCGCCCTTAGAGCGGCGAAGTTCGGTGCTCTGTCCTTGCCGGTGATGTTAGTGGAGAATTCGCGTGGGTAATCTCGTGTTAATAGGGAATGCTGTTGCGGCTCTTGCTTGTTTTCTTTTACGAGCGACAGAAAGAAGGATTTGGCGAAAGCGGAAGAATTATAATCGTTCACTTGGAACGACTGCTTCCTGAATTTGGCGTGATCGTCATCAGTGTCGTGATACACCCGGCATTGGGAAGCGTCACTTTTGCACTCCTGTTCGCATGCATCCGGCAATGTCAGAAGAGCCTGGAACACTGCTAGTTTCGAGCAAGTGCATTGTGGCCTTTGCATATAATCATTAGATGATCCGTTTTCAAAGTTAAGATGTGATGTGTTAGTATGCGAGTTGAAAGATCCCGCTCTTTCCCAAGGCTGTGTTAGTTGAATTCTGTTAGATATAAAGCAGGTACAATTTACGATTAAAAGTTTGGCAAGGGTTAGAAGCTATTTTAGGACACATTAGTAAAGGAATTTTTAAATAACAAACAGTGCGACCAAGATGTGTTAATTTTATTAGTTTTGTTAATTAACTTTGATATTTGTAATTGTAAATTTTTTTTTAATTTGAGCATATAAAATTAATTCTCTTTATCTTCATTTCAAATATGAATTTAGTTTTATATTCTTTTGAATCATACTTTTTGCTAAATCGTTTAAATCGTTTGCTTACCTTGTTTTCAAGATTTCGACTGTTTGACGTGAAGGTGTAGCCCCATCTGTAAAACAATATTATTTTAAGTTAGGACATTTCAGAGAAATATCTGCAATCTCATTTTTACATTTTGTCAATCTCTTCTTTCTCATTCGATCAATTTTTTTAATAACATTAGGCAAAATTTGATAAATTTGTTGTTTTTCTTAATCGTTAATGGAAATCAGAGATTTGTACTTTGAAAAATGGCTTGTGCTTGCAACACAGAGGACAGGATTACTTGGACACGGATTTCCGCTTCTCACTTTCTGTTATCATTAAATAATATAAGTTGCTTACATTTCGTTAGTAAAGACTTTGTTTCGTATGATGCTTCGTTATTGTCCATTGAATGCTCACCTTTCGACTGCGATCTAAAAGATACAGATAGCATTATCTTAATAACAGATTATAATACACAATAATGCGATAAATAGATGCTGTTTAATTATCAATCGATAAATTAATATATATTATTACAAATTAAACTTACAATCTTGTACCACCATCAGATGTTATTCTTGTCCAACCTGAAAAAATAGAAAACGAAATTAATTAGCATTCATTTCTTTTATTAAGTTATATTAAATATGAATTAACAATTAAATTAATATTTAATTTGCAAAATTTTAATCACATTTTATTAAAAATTTCCTATTAATCATTTCTAAATGAAATAGATAAACTACATCATTAGGTTAACCCTTTGGCCTACAACCACGAGTAAGACTCGTGGTAAGGAATTTGGTCCCTAAGCAATAAGCACGAGTCTGACTCGTGGTACTTCAACGCGCGACCGACCTTCCTGTTTACTACGGCCCGAGCAATCGGGAGAAAGCGTGTAGGTCAAGTGGTTAAATATGTTAATTACTTGATAATTCTATTAAATAGATAACAGACTCATCCAAAATTTCACACGGACATTACAAGTTTAATAATACCTTTTTTCACTATAGTTCCAGACGGTTGCTTTCCTGCACCCATGCCAGATAACTTCTTTTCTTCTTCCAATTTTCTAGCATCCTCCATGTCTTGCTTCGTTGTCAACTATACAAAAAATTGTATTCAGGAATATGTATTTCCCGCATGTAATCTGCGTATTTATTAAATTACTTACAGTTTGGCCTTCGTATTTGACATCTATTTCTTCCAACTTCTGCATAACATTTTTCAAAATAAAAAGCACATCTCTATCCTTCTCGTTGTTAACCAAGTGCCTCACAACTGATTCTAGCGACGTCAGCAGTTTCTTATCGGTTGGTATCCACAGCTGACTCTTTAATTGTGGTAGTAAAGACACTACTTTCATTCTTATGTTAGCTACCGGATCTTCGGCCAGATTCAATAAAACGTTGAAGAAATGCTCCTTAAAATATACAGAAGAAAAGATTTCCAACGCTTCGACCATCATTCGGACGAACATCATTCTCACGTAACAATCAGAATTATTGGCTAAATCCGTAAAGATTCTGCTGCGTAGCTCCGCTCTTTGTATAGGTTTCATGTTATATCGCAGAAGAAGGAGAAAAAGTGTTCCTGCAGCAAGACGTACTGGTATAGGCCGCTAAAATTTTCATGTTAAAATTATTTAACAAATTAAAACTGATAATAAATAAAACTTTAAGAAACTAGAAACTTAAATCTAGATATCGTGCAAATTTTAGATGGGAAATAAGACATTGCGGACTTACTGCGTGTAAAATTCTGGAGAAAGCCATTGGCACAAAGTACGAATATATAAAATCACTGGGAAAACATTTGGGTAAAATCTCTAGCTGCGCATGCATCAACGATGCCAGTCTCCAGTTGTGTGTGCCCGCAATCACGGCCTCGCATTTTAATAAGGCTTTACCTATTTCCATCAGAGTCGAATCCTGCAATAGTTAATACAATATCTTGAGAACCGAAGTCATTTAAATTACGAGTTGCATAATAAAATTTATCACAATTACCACTTTATCCATTCCAATGGTTTGACTGTCGATTAAACATTCCAGCGTTAGTCCTATATTAGGAATTAAGCCCTGAAGCACTTCCTCGGAATCATCTTTCAGTAACTTTATCAGATTTTCTTTTATTCGAGCACACTTTGGCCCTAAAAGCTTTGCCACCTACAAAATATCGCTCTGTAGTATACATAATATTGTTATAACTTGAGCAAGAGTATCATGTTTAATCTTACTTCGTGAATTCCGCACGCAACGGTCCGCCGAACCAGATAATAATGATCACTTGCCAATGCGTCAAATGTTGTAAGTATCGCATCTATGTCTTCTGGAGAATTTGACACGAAGATAAACACTGCAGGTAAATTAAATGCACAATGCCTCCTGCACTCAACATATCTCTCATCTTGTGCAGGATTGCTGCTAACCTACAAAATTAATCAACATATACATCATATTTTTAATATTAATAAAATAATTTGATAAGGTAATTTCAATAAAACTTTCATAAGAAAATTTAAAATAAGTAACATAATTTAAAGCCAAGTTTGTCTGTCATCATTAATTGTCTAAATATGTATTTATACTAATTATTATAAACAATATTCCAGAATATTTATTAATACTTATTTAATAAAAATTCCACGCACTAAATTTATAAAACATAAATACTCACAACAAATGTAAAGTGTGGCTTCTGTTTTTTCAGCGACGGTATTCCCATTTGTGCAAGTTGTTGATAATACTTTAAGAACCATGTTTTCTCTGACACTGATAAGCATTCTAAAATTAAAATTTAATGTCATGCATCTCTTAAATTCTTGAGTGTATTATTATTTAAGCATATAGTGCTGCCGATATAAAATGGTTTCTTACTTTTTAGGCCAAGTACAAGTTTTCCAAATTCCTGGCTTATCATACATATCACATTATCGTCCGATTTAGCTGCAGTCTCACATAGCTTCTTAACAAGTGGTGCTATTATAGTTTTTATTGTATCTGTGTAGGCAATTCACGTTGAAAAGTTAGTTTTCGCTACTTATCGTTAAAAATATGACTTTTTTCCTATTATCTTTTATCCTTTAAAAGCTAGAAAAGTTTCGAAATGTCATTTATAAAACTCACCTTCCTGAAGATGAGGTAGTAAATACACTATTGTCTGTACAGAGGCATATCTTACATTGCTTTCTTCATCACTTGCTAATTCTACAAGAGATGGTAGTAAAGCAGGTTTTACAGACTCAGCACCAAGGCCTTCCGCGACAAAACGCAATTGCAAGCAGATGCTTGCTCGTACTTCGCTACTTACATCCTGACAAAGGGAGTGTACTGTTGGCAGAACTTCCTTCTGTATCCTAAAGAATACGTAAATTGTGAATTATTTAGTCACTTTAAAAAAATTTCCGATTTTTTATATTTATTTTATTATACACCAAAAAAATCTATTCAAATATACTCACATAGCGGACTCAAATCGTGTGCAAATTTTTCCCAATAACCTGCTGCATGTTACCCTAGAGTATATAGGCTGTGACAATTGTCCTTTGCTTATAGTCAATGGAAGAATCTGTATATAAGAATGTTTTCATTATTATCCATCCAAAAGAACATTATGTTATCACTTTTATACAACATAATTTAATATCTCATTGATTTCTGCATATAATGCTTCCTTTATAAGTTTTTAGTTAGAAAAGTAATTGTATATATCTCTGCTTTCTTTTAAATATACTGCTGTTTTAAATAAATTTAACTTGCAAACATAAAGTTGTATGTAAATAAACAGAAAATAACTGTTTTCCTTCTTTATCTATTTAAATAAAAAAATGTTGGATATTTACAAACCTGTGCTCTTATGACTTCTACCGGCAGAAACTCTATCACATCCAGTAAGGTCTCCAACCATGCATGACAGATAACTTTAACATTGAAACACGTACAGTGAAAGTCAGAATGGCATGGATAACGAATGGACAGAAATAATATTAACTTTTGATCATAAAATACTGTACTTTAAAGTAATAATTATTGTAATTAACAATCAAATATAAAATTACCTGGATCACGGCTCTCCAGAGAATTTAATATACTTTGAAGGAATGTGTTACTAAAAACATTATGGCTGACAAGCTTCTGCTCTAAGATTGTTTTGAAGGTAGATGATGCTGCTATATGAAACTCAGTTGATGCAGTGGCCAGGGACTGTTGCATCTTAGGTACCACTCGAGACAAACATGATTGTGTGTCGGTGACTAAAAGACTTGGTAAACTTTGTATAACACTAAGCTTCTGGATCTCATCTCCCCTCCTAAAAAAATTTCAATATTTCCTTAAGAGATAAAAATCGGTGCTTAAGAGGTCTACAATTCTTATCTACAATCTTTCTTATGTGACATGACCTGCTTTTAGTTTGAGTGACATGTATGACACATAAAATCACTATCTTAAACATACAGTAATTTAGATAATAGATTTAGATCATAGATTTATTAGTCATTTTAGTCGGATTTTTTATATTTTTAAAATGACTTTGTAAAGAGAGAAAAATAACAGATCATAGAGAGTATAAATTTCTATACATATAAAGAAAACAAAGTATCCTTTGTAACTTATAACAAATAAGTTTTTTGCAACCGTAATTTGATTAATAATAAATTGATCACTTGAGAACTTTCAAAAAGTTACTGATAATAAGGCAATTCTTACTAGACGTTTGTCTGAAGTAAATATTTAAAAAAAAAGTAGGAATTCTGAATATTCAATTAATTGTGCGACTGTGTAGATGCTGGTAGATACAAAGCGAAAAATATATTTTGAAGGATAACAATTAAAAGTTACTGATTAAGAATGCATCAATTATCGTTCAAAACATTCCACAAGTTATATAAGTTTCCCGCAATCAACATTGGAAGATTTAAGATACATACTGATAGATATTAATGTATAAACAAATGTACTATTAAACGCTACTAAAAATGCACGAGATAATTGCGTGGCGCGGTCGGCTAACCTAAATCTCGCGGAGTTCATGAACTCCTTATAATCCTGGCATCGCTCTTGTCTTACGATACTCAAATAAAGAGGAATGTCATTCCTTGGCTGTCTTTAAAGGACTATAATTAGTACGCTTACTACGATAGGACAGGAGTTACGCTCCTTGAACGACGGCGCGTTATTTTTGGAAGCACACGCGCGCGTGGGGGACATGAGGATAAAAAGAGTAACTCAACAAACTTGAATCTCTTTAAGTAAGGACCAGGCTGATTGATCAACAAAGTTTCTCGTGATAGAAGGAAAAAAATACCGCGATACATGCATCATGCACAGCTGATTACTCACGGATCAGACGTGATCTCGTACGGGGCTTCATCTCCCTCGTGCAACATTTTCGAGGCGCATCTTATTCGTCAACGTCGCAGTCAGCGTACGCGGGATGGCACCGATCAATCGTGAAGGTGGTGATCTACCTACGCGAACGGCATTCGCGTACACGCACCCATGACGCGCGAAGAACGACGCGACACGCGAGATGACGCGGATGACAACTGAACCAGGCTCCGATTTCCACGCTATCGATTGTTATTCGACTTGCCGTCATGCGTCACGAGCGTGTCCGAGTCACGCCGAGCCGGCACGAGCCGGCTATATCGGGTGGCGCAAAAATACAGTCGCAGATCAGTCTTAAAATCGACATTCTTTTTCGTATCAACAATGTACATTGCAATGCAATAATAAAGTAGACTTGTTAATTGGCTATCGATCCTTTATGGACTTTTTCAGTTTATTAAAAATTATCATATTACGTAAATATCAAGAATCTGATAGATGTTGGTATTTTTTCTTGATTATTTAATTAAATTGATATTTATTTTTATTCTAATTATTTTGACCAAGGCAAATGATTTTTCAGAGGGCCTCACACGAAATTCGTCTACCGTTTTTAATACAGTTACTGGACTATAGCTTATTTATGATAGAGAGTCCACTTCAACAAGGTCAATTTTAGGGAAGTTTGATTGTACATTCATATGCATAATGCATAATAACGCTGCGGACGTTGTTGCATAAGTCATGTGCAACAGAAAGATGATTTAACGATAACGTCATCTTGCAATTGTATGGCAATCCAATACGGTGCGCTACTTCGACCATGGAAAAAAAAAATTACGTATGAATCAATTTATCAAATATTTTCCGAAAATTATCTGGATTATTCCGATTGAAACGCGATGACATTGCATTGAAATACATCACCTTTGCTACTTGGTAACAATAACTTTCAAATTATCAAAAAAAGAAATATTATATTATTATATAAAAACATATATAAACATGTAGTTTGAAAATTTATATTATTGTGATTCCTAATATTTAAGAGATATCAATCCATTCATTGAACATTTTAAGGCATGAATTCCAAATCGAATTGATAATTTTTTTACGCAAATTATGTCGGTAATATAATTTTACTTTATTTTATGCAGTTATCAGAATTTGTAACAGTAATTTTAATTGCATTCAAATTCAAGTAGATTATAAATCATATGCATCATAGGCATCATTACATTAGAGAATATCCGCTATTTTGAAATCGTGTTGGGATTCATGATATTTAATTAATGCAATGTCGTCCTTGATTCGATAATCGGAGGCGAGTTACGTATTTCCGATCAAGGTTTAACAAGTCGATTCATTGAGATAATGCATGCGAATCTATTCTCATGTACACACAAACTCAAGAGTAAAATTTTACAATATATTTAGAGGTGTAAAATTTAATGATAAAATTTTTAAACATCTAATAAAACATCAAAATTGTTATATAATATAACAGATTATATAAAACAATAAAAGAATGTAATAAAAATAAAAAGAATAATTATAATACTTGTAAGTAATAAGAATAAATAGATAAGATCAAAAATATCAACAAAAAAATACATTGTACAAATATTAAAAATGTATCTTTGAAATAATAAAAAATTATCTCAATAGATATTTCGAAATTATTTGAATGATTGGTATTTAGGACACGTAATCTACTTACAAAAGAATGTGAAGTGCTCTATCTATAGGTTTCCTTTCTAAGTTAGCATCCAGGGTATGTTTTCGTAGCTGTTCTTCATTCTAAATAAGGATATTGGAATAAAACGAATAAAGTGCGTAAAATTGAAATGACAACAAAATGACACCAACATTTATTAATTCATATTAATATATAAAGAAAGTTTTTTAATGGTAAATTTGTTTTTAACGGACAAAATTTGTATATACATACAACCAAAAATTGAAAACAATGGTAAATATTATGGCATACTCTTAAATCAGGTAACGGTTTATCCAGTTGGAGACTCGCAAATTCTTCAAGTTCCATAATGTATTTATATGATCTTGCTTATGTGTTGCAATTTTATTTTTTATTTTAACCTTACTAACGTTATTCTTGTTAAGAGAACAAAAGATACATTCATGTTAAACATAATAGAAACGCAACTACATAACTCACACATAAATTTATGAAAAAAAAAATTGTTTTACGTAAATTTGTAAAAATAACAACTTATCTAATATTGTCATTTGTATCGCAATTGCAGAAACTGATAAAATAAAAATTAATATAAGAAATATCTCTCAAAATATAAAATAAAATTGCAACAGATAAATCATTATGAAATAATATTAATATTATCAAAATTGATTCATAAAGATATTTTTAGTAAAAGCATATTAATTATTTGATTACTTCTGCATTGTGTTAATTGTTACTAAAATTAAGTAAATATTGCAAAAAATATCACAAAAAAACATAAGACCAAAAGAAAAGAAACGAAAAAAATGTACCATTCTATATAAAACCAGTCATGCACATTTTCATAGAATGTCATATTGATATACTCTTCAGTTTGAGTAATATCAATATTGATAACTCAATAAAAAATCAAACAATTTTGATTTTTAATTGTATGAAAAATATTGATATGTTTTTTTGAAAGTCTTTCGCAATAAAATGAGTCTTTGGTAGTAAGATAAACAATAAAATATCTTAATAGTATTGATTGTCTGAACAGAAAAATTAAATCAAGAACTTATTAATATCTAAGAAATATAAAGAAATTTAAATTAAACATTTTCACGTTTGTTTTATCCGAGACAAGTATTAAGGAAGTTCTTTACAAAAAGAATAACTGATTTTGTAGCTGTGAACCCGGAGGTCGATGAAGGACCCGTCCCACTAAGGACGAAAACTTTTTCGCATAATGGCAAGGCGCCGGTGCACGCACGGTGCTTGAGCAATTGTAATACATATGAGTTAATTTAAAGGTCACAATTTGCATCACGTCTGGATGCAAGCCGCTATTATCCGAAATAACGTTATACGCGGTAGGCGAAATTGTGCCTTGTCTTACTTGTTGCGACACAAGGAAAAAATCATACTTAAACGGACAAGTCACAACGTCGTCAACAATCGTACCGGTCGGTGGATTACGTCTGTTAAGGAAAAGTCGAGTATTGTTCTTGGATACGACTATAAATGTCATCTTGAAATGCGGCCCGTAGTAGAGCTCCTCGAGCTTCTTTTTCAAGCTTTCTACTTCATATTCATTAACTTGCGATAGCTGACCATCGCTGACACCGTCACGATAAATTAGGAGATACATGGGCAGGGCTTTGTTAAAGACGCGATACGCATGCACTGCCTTTCTCACACCCTCGCAGAGTTGCTCGCCGAGCTCTTCATGATTGTGATATAGCGAAACGTAACTGAAGTATCGCGTCTGCGAGTGATCGACGGTTGCAACCATAGCCACTGTAATCACAAATTAGTCAAATTTATTAGTTTCTAATCAAAATAGACAATGCGAAATTTACGAATATGACGGATACCGCAATGTTCGCTATTAAAATATCGAAATAGGAAATATCATTGTCAGATCTTAATATTTAAAGATACTTACGATACTCTTTGCCCTTAACGTTCGAATCACGACATACGTCGAAGCCGATAGCCATTAGTCCTCTACACGGCATGTCAATTTGCCAAGGAGCTCCGCCTAACTTACAGTTCATCTGTATCGCTATTTTCGTAGCGATAGTCATAGCATTTTTACCGTCCAAGTTCTTTTGTAAAATAATCTGCGACGGGACGGGTCTATCTATGCAGCACTTCTTCTTAATAGCTGCATAACGATCGCTGCGATTATTGCTCACGACGCAGAACACCAAATCCGGAATATTCTTGCTAAGAATGCGCTCAAGACAATCGATATACGTGCCCGCTGAATCTTCGTTCAACGTGCATACTTGTGGATGTTCAATTCGAAATGACAATCCGTTCGACACCCGAAACAATTTATCCAGAAAACCCTAAAAAATAAGATAACGATATTTCATGTGAAGACATCAGGAGGAAAGATGTGCATTTATATCGTCCTAGAGTTATATCATAAATTGTGTTTAAATACTTATAGTCAACTTACTCACCTGTACATTGTATTGAGCTCGGTTATTCACAATTATTACCCAATTTCTTAATTCTTTGCACAGTAATAAAGGTGCCCTTTGCATATCCCTCGTCCAATCGCCTTGTCCAGTATTAATTGCAACATTTCTGCCAAATATGAGCTTTTCGGAAGGCAATATGCGAGCAGGAACTTCGACCAAGGCTCTATCCAATTTCATATGCCAGTCATTCAATTCCTGCATAACTTTGTCTTCTCTACGAAGTCTGTCATTGAACCTCATCAGTTTGTCAATACGAGTTTCGGGTGAGAGTCGAGTATGTGTAGCCAACTCTCTCATAAGATGAAACTGTTCTTTCATTTTCTCAGTTAAACCTGTAAAAGAACATTGCTAATTACAAAAAAGAAGCGTTCGTTGACTAAAAAATTAACAATAAAACTTTTTTCAAATATCTACGTACCTATAGGACGGCATAATTCGGGAATGAGATAAACAAGGTCTCCTTTACCCAAATTTTTTACTTTCGGTTTTGTTCTCGTCACCAGCAATGGCTGTGTAGGATTCGTTATTCTAATTTTATATTTCGTCCAGTAGTATTCCAAATAAGATATTTCCTCTCCAGATTTCATGGGAAATTTCGACGAAGGGCTTACATCAAAATCGACATCCTCAACGCGATACGTATGATTATTATAATCCGTAAGTACTGTCATTCCGATTACAGTATTCGAGAAAGCAAGCTGAAAATGTATGCAATGCTTGTTATTTTTTGAATAAACTTGTGAAATAATGCAATTCTGATTGACATCTACATTCAAACATCAAAACATCAAAACATCGATTTTATTACTTTGTTACATGCAAGTATACATTATGATACTGCTAAATAACAAGAAATAATAGCATAAACAAATCATTCATTTCCAATAATTTTATCTTTTGATACATACTTATTAAGCAATTTTTTATGCAAAACGATTGACTGATTTGCACATAGATAATAATCTAAAGAATAAATCCAACTTTCAACTACAAATGACAGACAAAAGAAAGAACACAATGTCAATTAATTATAAAATGCAAACGTTATACAATTGTAAATGAACAACTAATAAAATTAAAATACAAATTACAGAAACAACCAAATTGATAGATACTGAAGTCTCACATCCATTGATCGAAATATTTGTGATTAGGCATACAAATACAGACTTGTACAAGTACGTAGAGAAAGCTCTTATTTTCATTCATAAAATCTATTAAAGCTTTAAATTATATCACATTTTGTTAAATCTGATTAATTCTCCTAGTCAAACTTTGAAATCAAATCAGATTTCTCATTTGATCCTCTTTGATCTGATGTTATATTCTTGATTTATATCCACCACCCTAAATTTTGCTCGTTTATTATACCTGTACAGAGAATCAGAACAAGTCTCAAGAGAAGAGACAGATACAATCAAGAGCGTCTACGCAATATTTAAATACACGTTAATTATAAGAGAAATACGAAAAACAATTATGACAATTATGACAATTATGATTAAGACAGATATAATGCTAAATGAATAAAATTGAAAGTAGACATAGTATGACATAGTAGAAAGTAGATATAGTAAACACTGAAAAGAATTTCTTGAGACATTTGATAACACACATAAAGATACATATATTTGCATGAATATTTGGCACTTGGCTTTAAAGTCCATATTCTCATATAATTTGATTGTTATCCTTAGAAGGAATTATATATAAGATATAAGAAATTATATATTAATTAGAAAAGCAGATATTAGAAGATATAAAATATAAGAAATTATATATTAATTAATATGTAACTTACCCTAAAATCGTGACTGCCGTAGCTCTCAGTTAATATATGCATTAATGTTTCTTGACGCAATACTTTATGCGATATCTCAACGCACATCATGAAATCGCGCTCATATTGTCTGATGGCCGTAACGTAACCAGGCCATAGTTCCAATTTAAATTGACGTATGCTTACCTATAAAATATGAACAATCATTGTTACAAAAATGGTTATTGAATCATCGATCGTAATAAAAAGTAGAAATGTATAAATTTCTACTTACTTTATTTTTAGCGTCGTAATAATTGCGGCCCACCAGTTGTAACTGCAAATACTCCAGACATTTCCTCATCACTATATTGAAAAATACAATATAGTGCGGGTCTTCCCGCAACACGCTTCCAACGAACCGTATAGTAATTTTAATATGTGCGTTATCAGACTTTCTAGTTGATATCAGTTCCATTTTCTACAATTTTTATTTGCATACATATTTATACAAATGTTTATGTATACAGAAGCAATATGAAAAATATATCGTAGTATACTTACGTCCGGTAATTCCGTGACCGTGTACAAAACGGTACCGTCAAAGATATATGGACCAATTTTTTCTTTATGAAGCTTCAGCAAGCCTTTGCGAACGACTGTACGAGTTTCGTCCGGTTCAAAATCGATTCGAAACATATAAAGATTCCAATCAGGTACTGTGGGTAGCTTAAAGTGATTTGATTGTACTAATATTTGTTTTCCTGACGTTCCTGCAAATTAATAAAAATAATTAAAATCAATATATATCTGCTTTCGTGAGATAAAAGGGTAGTAATTGTAATCCATGAAAGTTCTTTTGGGTATTTGGATCGACAGTTAATCGATATTATAATATTACTGCAATACTACTAAACTTTGAACTTTTCAAACTCCCTGGTTGAAATTTTAGAAAACAGCAATATTTATAGTTTTATACTGACCTTTCTTATTTACTAAAGATTTTGGCCTGCTGACAAAAATAGTTTCTCTTTTTCGACCTTGTGTTGATGCAGTGTCCTCACTTTTCAATTTAGCATCTCCACTTCCATCTTCTACAAATTATTACATAAAAACTTTTTTAAAGATTTTTTTTTTAAATTAAATCTTTTAATTTGAAAATATTTTACTTGTATCTTTCGTATATGCAAATAGAATAAAAAAAATTTCTTTAATCTTTTATTATTATTAAAATTAGTTCAATAATTAAATAATATTTAAAAAGTATACTTTTTTATTTACATAAATATATGATTAAATTTTGTGTAAAAACAAAAAAAAAAAAATTAGTAAACAGCGCATCATAACATATTTATAACTGTAGATTTACTGTTTACAAAATAGCTATCAAGTAAAATAGAGATAAAGAAATGTGATAGAAAAAGATGGAAATAAGAAGTTTACCAGATTTAATATCCATTGATTCGGATTTAACTTCCACTGGTTCAGATTTAACTTCCATTGGCTCAGATTTAATTTCCGTTTGTTCTGAACCATATTGTCTTGAATAAGTAGATGTACTTGCATCAGTATCATACTCACTTTCAGATATCTTAGAGACAGACTGTATAACAGAATAATGTATCATCAATTATGCCCCTTACATAAACCTTTAAATTATTTCATTTATATATATATATATATAAACAGTTAAATATATAAATTCCTGTTAATAGTAAGTAGTGTAAAAATTTTTTAACATGTTTCTTATTCATAGATTATCATTTACATAATTGAGATAATAATGTGCACATCTGAAATAAAGTAATTAAACACTATATTTAAAATTAAAATAACATTATAAATTACATACTAACTTTTAGTTTATCTTTTTTTTTCCCTGATGAATGTCTTCTTTCCTAAAAAAGAGAGAATTGTATATATATTCAATTACAAGATATAAAAGTACAGATTAAAATTAATATTATTCATACATCTAGAGTTTTAACATAAATTATAGATTATCTAAAGCAAACTTTAGTTATAAATGTCTAAATGTTTTTGGAGTAAATAAAAAATATAAAAAAAGACAAATTTTGCAGCTACAATTTACCTTACAATTTAATTTTTCTTTTGTCTTGGATGTTTAAAAAAATGTTCATTTTTTAACATTCTATATTATTTTCAACTTACGTGTTCTGAAGATCTCGAGTAAGGTTTACGATACCCACTAGTAGATGGTTCAGAAGGATCATGGGGATCCCACTTGTCTTTTCCTTGCTTCGACATATCTGAAATTTAATGATTTCGATAGCAGCAGAAAATTATTTCTTCACTGATTCTGTATGTAAATTCATTGAATATAATGTTAACATATGGAATCTATTTCACCTAGCTATAAAATACGAAATATTGTACAAAATATATATATATATATATATATGTATATGTATGTATATGTATGTATATGTATGTATAATGTAGTACAATATTTTGTACGGAAGAAGAAGCACTTTAAGCGGCGTATGGGCACGTGCGATTGCGTTCCGAAGATTACTGCCAGTATTGAAAATCTACAATATACGTTACGTAAACTATAGATTTTTAATGGTAGTAAATTTCGGGACACAGCCCATGTGTATACGGGAAAGTGGGGATAGGCATGTATCTGAACACAATGTTAAGACTCCCTGAGTAGAGAATTAGGTTAAAAGAAGATAAGATAGAATGAATCAGTATGAATCTAAATAAAGTAGAATCCAAATAGAAGATTAATTATTTCTTAAGAATCTCCAATAGAAGATTAATTAATTCTTAAGTCTGGGTGTAAGAAATATAACTCCAAGGGGACAATAAAGAATATCTAATACAATATTTTGAAAACATATCTATTATATATATGTTTACTAGAAAGAAAATTGATAAGAGTAAAATAAAAGTGACACGGTATTTAATAACAATCAAGTGTACATTATGCTAATAAAGAAAATACTGAACTGAACAATTTAACTAAACAATGTTGATATGAATTTACGTTGACATAAATTCAAGCTAATATTAAGTCACACTCAGCAAAAACAAATACAGCTGTGTCAGCTTGTGTGATAATTATATTTAATTTTTATGCTTACCAAAAGCTTATAATGCAGAATACTTTTAGTCTTCAGCAGCTTCACATCTACTACTCTTCTACTTCTTATTCTGGAATTTTAAAAAATTATGTATGTATAACATATCAATATGTATGTGTAATAGCTTATTGTTTCTTACATAATATTATTCTTTATTTATAGTAAAAATTTGTGTTTGTGATTGTTCTCTTATACAGAACAGAATATAAATATTGATTATTGAATTCTGCACAAGCTATGTTAATCTATTATATTTAGTGATAACATTTTGCATTTGCTTCAACAAGTATGTATACTAAAATACAGAGAATAACATACTTTTATGTAACAATGATACATAAATGTTTCAAATTTAAAAAAAATAATGCACTGAATACTTGTATGAATGCTTTGTATTTCTGATTTAGACATTTTTCATGGCTATCTCATTCAGTATTCAGTAATATATAGTGTTAATATCTTTATTTATCATATTAAATAAATGTTGCAATGTATATAATCCAAAAATATCTAAATCTATTAATCATCAATAATATTCTGTGTATAATCAACAGATTTCATACACAGATGAATATCTAAAAAATTATAATTAATAATCTTACATCCAGGTATAAAGATATTCAATAAAAGCTTAATTTTAATTCAATTTTTAATATTTACATTCCAGAAGAGTGAGAATAGAAAATAAGACTAGCTTAAATATAGTTTAGAGATATTGTATCCTAAAAGGTATCCAGTATATGCACTTTTATTGCACACATCCACACACACACACCGCGCGCACACAGCGCAGCACACACACACACACACACACAAAGAAATTCTACATATCCATATATGAAATCTGTGATTATACACAAGGTATTGATGGTTAATACTTAAATTTAGATATTTTTGGTTATATACATTGCAATAGTTATAATATAATAATGAAATAAGTAAATAAAGTAACGATTTACTTTAAAATGAAATAACCTTATAAAAGGAAAAACCGATTAATCAATATTTACAATACATTATTAAATAAACATTTATAGGAGTTAATGCTTTTCTGATTTGGATAACAATAAAGTTTTTGCACATTGTTGCCTAGCAACTTTTTAACCAACGCCAACACTAAATGATGAAAATTACACTCGTAGGTGTCATACCTACCTTTTCAGCTAATGTAACAAAGCAACGCCGAATCTCGGCATTTTAGAAATAAATGTCTTAACCTTGATTCATAAAGCATGCAACTGATTATAAAAGAAAAAAACAAGACACTTCCAATATCTATCAAAGGAATTATTTGTATTACCTTATTTCTTGGACGAAACCGAAAACTGTTTTCTCTCAAAAAATTTGAACAACTATAAACGAGAGACATGCATATTTCATCGTCCAGGCAGCATCCAGGACCTCAGCTGGTCAATCATGTGAGCACTTGACTCAACCAATCACAGACTGTCAATGATGACAGGAAGAAGACGTGATTGGGCTATTCAAACATAAAGAAAGTGAAGCGTAGCACGTAACAAATATTATTGCTGCAATTTTACAAGTAATATTGAGTGTGACATTACTCTCGTTTAACAGACAATAATTGTTACATAGCGAGAAATAGCGAGGTGCGTGAGAAAAGAAAGTCTTGTGTTAGAACTAACTGAAACATATGAATAAATACTGATGGATATGCAAGAATTTGCATGCTATTGCACATGCGTAAGAAAATTGTGTGTGGCGTGTTGAGCGTGTTGAGCGTTGCTAGGAGCTTGAATATATAAGGTGTCCTAAATCAAAAAGTATTTTGAAAAGTATTCTTCGACCGATCTTGAATTAATTTTCCTACAATAGAAGTATCGAAGGAAATCATAATTTTCTACAACTTTCCAATTCTCGATGTTACATGGACCTTGATTAATTACACTTTTACAATTTTACATATAAGGTAACCAAAGTTAAAAATTTACCAAAAAATTCGGTTTTGTTACACATTTGTTTTATTTAAGCGTAGTTTATGAGAAATTCGAATATTTTTTTTTTCAAGTTTCGTAAAAATCTATTTCAAAAATTAATCTGCTGAGTGAATGCTGAATTGAGTGTTGATACCGAAAGAATAGGACATCCGGTATAAAGAAACATCGATTAAAAGTAAAAGATGATTATGAAAAGAAAAAATCGAGTTATCAGATGTACAAACACACAAATGCATATGCTAATATAAATGTGCATCAGATATTTTACAGATACGTAATCTTTTTCCTTTTTGTATATGCATTATGCAAGCTTAAAGACTATAACTTGGACTATATACTTTAAAAGACTGTTACTATCTTGTTATTATTCTAAAGAGACAAAATTTCAGGGATATCAATTATAATTAATATTAACATTTTTCTTATAACAATTTGCGATATCAATTATTCAGATTATTGTTTCACATTCATAATTATTATATATGTTCATATTTACAAATAATGTTTCTGATATTGGTTTGTATAAATTATTTTCACTAAAGATGGTGATATGAAAAATCAGTAATCTCATAATGTACACACGTATATTTCAAACATCATCAGTACAATGTTGATACAGAGTATCATGAATTATAAATCAGAAAAGAAATATTGGTAAATCAGTTCTCTTCCTTGCAAAGAACATGCTATCCAGAGTAAGTGTACATTATTACAGAATATATTCTGTTTGTAATTGACACACCGCTATGTACTAGAACATACAATTTGTTATTACTGTTAGATTTATTTCAGACATGCTATGCAAAATGGATCGTTATATGTATCGTCTATCCACGTATTGCGCATTTTCTTTTGAGCATTTTGATAAAACTATACTAGAAACGTTTGTTTCCATATCAGTGCAATTTCTTAATTTGAACACAAGGCAGAAAAATAATACACAAAAAAAACCTAAATAAACTATAACCTAGTACAGAGTATATGAAAACGAGTACGGAATAAAATAAATTACCAATGTTAGTTAACATAAGACTCTGACAAGAGACTTCGTATAGCAGCATTGTGAATTATAAGAATTTATTCTTATATTACAAGATATAAGAATAGCATTTATTAAAATTTCTTTTAAATAAAAAGATGGAATTCATTAAATTATTGAGAATTATAGTTAAAAAGAGATTCGTTCAAGTATTGAGAGAAAATGCGCAATGAAATATTCTATATATGTGTATGCATGGCAATAACAAATATAAGGATGAGTCGCTTAAAGATAGTTTTTAAAAATGCGAATAATATCGCTCCGACATCTAAGAGATGAAAGATTATTACGACATCAGATGATAGAAATTTGCATATGAAAATGTAGAATTTCTATGTGTAAAAATTCCTAGGAGATACTTTTCCTGATAACAAGTACGCTGCTAAAGATTTACTGGGCTATTGAAGTATTACATACTATTTTATGATATTGGATAATAGTAGTATATCGCATATTGTAGAAGTTTACGTAAAAACTAATTAACTTTACTGACTACTCTTATATCTCCAAACGCAATGGTCTATATTTACATCATAGGTTTAGCATCGAATATGGCTAAATGATTCTCAATTCGTGATGATACTGTTCTCATAAATAAAATTTGGAATCAGATGACCATATTCAATTCTAAACGGAATATAGACCCCAAATATCCTCTATACATATTTTGCTTTTCGCAGTCAAACCGATAATTCATGTATTCTTATGTATTCAAGTTCTTATTCTATATAAGCGCATTTTAATTACAAAGATTTTGACTGGTGTTACAAGAATGCTAAAGATCTATTTTGTTTCTTTTCAGTTTTAGAACTGACTGTACAACCGATGTACACATATTCCCTATACCATGTATCTACAAAAAATATGTATATATCTTGCTTTTTTGCACGCCTTCTTAACGAATTAAAAACCAATATCTTGTTTTCTAAAAAAATTTTACAATTTGCAAAAAGAAATAATACGCATAGAATTGATGATGCGACACAAAATGCTATAACACATTTGTATATAATTTCTTAAATAGTTATCCGTGAAACTAAAATGCAATAATCTATAGGAGTAAAACATGCGATGAATTGACGCCTCGTTTATATAATGTCAATTCTGTATGGATAAATATTGAGCACAGAACACATCTCGTTTAATAATGTTGTAAAGTAACGTTGTGTAATAGATACGTGTGATTAAATCTCATTGTGTATGTGTGAAAGGGAAATTGCATATATGTAGCAGAGGTTTTCGTACGGTATAAAGTATAAATTAAAACTCTATATGTATGGATGAAGCACACCTAACTTGGTCGGTTCTTAAGTAAAACGTCGCGTTCCTTAATTGAAGGTACATCAGAAAGACACACATTTCACATATATGTTTCTAATATCTTTCTAAAAATAAGGGATACATCTATATGCGTTCAACTTGTAAAATATCTGTAATATATTAGCGATCTCTAAAAAAAAAAAAAGAAAACATGGCTGAGTTTAAAGTACAATAAAGAGACAAAATATATAGAATATATATAATATAGGATATATCGCTTTTTTTTTATAATGCTACAAGAGGTTACATTTATCACACTCATTTAACTTTCGCGATATTTACAACGTTGATTAGGATGAATCAATTAAAACGAATCGATTAAAACGAAAAGAGTCACAAAATTAACCCGCGCGCGCGCGCGAATAAAATGCTATAAAATATATACCCAATAATAAAAAAATAAAACAATTACTTCTATATTACAAAACAAGATTTCAAAACAAAACGTAATCATATTCTAACAACACTTATGATACAATCTTGATTATTTCTGCAGATATTACAGAACGTTGGAAGCATACGTTGACAATGCAAATTTAAACGTTTGTAGAACGTCTTGAATGTATAAAATATATGCATCTTTTTTTATAATATTAAAGCAAACCATAAAAGAGATAGAATTTAACAGGCTAATAAAAAAATCGAATATCTGTATGATGTCTGTGCATATATAACTTTTAATAAATATTTATATAGAATTTTTATACTTTTTTCGTACGTGCCATTATGCAATACCGCTATTATAAATGAATAACATCCTACTGTAGCATAAGTATGGTATCAGAAATATTTTGAAAAATTAAGTAACTGTGTGTGATATTCATATTTTTAGCTTTATCAGTTGCTGCCATGTAAGTACGTTTATTTTAAGCTTTAACTATCACGTTAACATTTGTAAGAAATGCTCTCTTAAGCTATTTTCATATTTTATCGCATGTATATTTGGTATTCACGTTCAATTCTATATTTCCAGTATACTACTTCTAAGAAACACCAAATTTGTTTCTGTTAATTCTTTTACACATAGCAATATTTTGCATTCAAGCATATTTGAAAACAATTTTTTTTACAGAAAAGAATCTTTATACAGAACAGTGTCTGTGCAGACAAAATGGCAGTGGTTTTATGAAATGTGTAACAATAATTATATAGAATAAAGTACTTAAACGCAAGTCACTCAAATAACTTTTAAGTTGAAATATAAAACAAAATATTTTAGATAAAAGTCAAATGCATCACTGCCCATAGCACAATAATTTTGTTTTTAAATATAAAAATGTTATTTAAATAAAATTTTTTAAGTGCATTAACCTATATTTTTACATTCTGACAAACAGTAAGCGTATAAGATCAAATGTATTTTTTTTTTTCTAGAAAGGATTTTATATCACAAAACCACTGGCATAATATCTTTCACCAGGCAATTAATGAGTTAAAATATTTCACAAATTTCTCCCTCTCCTACATCCATATTTATACATTATCAACAAATATTTAAATAATATAGTAGTTGAACGTGATTTCTTTACATTGTCTATTTTCCCATATTTAAGTACCCGAAATAGGCAGTTAAAATTGTTCAAGTAATAATCAAACAATATTCACAGCATGCAGCATAATTACTACATTGGTAACTCGCAGAACAAAAACTATTACAATTAAAAAAAAAACACGTAATTATGAATTTGAATCGGTTTCTTCAGTGATTTTTCGCCATTGTACTACGTTGACATATAGTAGAACTATGCCGAAATAATGAAAAGAAACGACATATGTACAATATAATGCTCTGAAGCTTTGTCAATATACAACTTCCAAACATTAAGATTATACATTACAGATATGCTCGATCGCATCGAGATTTTTCTCATGAAGAGGCTTTCAAACACAGACTGCGCGATAAGAACGATACGAAAGGATGTCAAGATTCATAAATCAATCGCTGATAATGAGGAAATATTTCCCACGTTGGCAAATGCAAACCAAATTCTAAAGCCACCAGCACGGCAAATTCAGATGTAATTAAGTCCCTACGATTTAAGCGGAATACACCCTCGATTCTCTGCAAACAGTACAGGTAATTATTATATAAAAAGAAATTGTTATGTAATACGATGTAAAAGTACCTCAATAAGCGATTTGAGGATATCACCCTTTACGTCATTCAGTTTTGCCGCGAGGAGTAAGCATGCACCAGCACATAACTTCCGTGTTTGCTTGGTCACAATGTTTCGCAGAATAAGTTTCTCGAAGTATACATACGCCATCGCAACAGTGAGTAAGTCAATGCCGTATTCTAACTTGGCTATTTTCCTCATCTCCCGTTTCAAGCTGAAACAAGAATTTGTGAAAGTTAATAGCAGAGTTCAAGGATATGATTTACATATAAACTGTACCTACCTGCGTAATTTACTGAGAGTGAGTTGAATGTGCGGAAACTTCTCCTTGAATTTATCATTCAACTCTTTCTTTAGATCGGAAGGTCTTACGTAATCAATAACAGACGCCTAATATGAAACATTGATTAATCATCATATTAATGAGAAGTGCATGAAAGGATTATAAATTTAAAGTGATTCAAATTAAGATATATATACCATGTATGACGTAAATGTTAGCAGAGTTCTATGCTTCCCAGCAATAAGTTCTGGGTCATCAAGTAAATTTGGATTATATTGTGTAGATTGTTCATCACATTCATAAACTGTAATAATATGCAATAATAATTACACAGTATCATGCAATAATTTGATTAAAAAATTAAGAATATTATTATTGTACCTTTGGAATCAGCACTGAAAGACAATGGTGGAGACTCGGAAGTTATGTAATGAGTGCGACTTGTAGCTGTATCATAAGAAAGACACCTAAAGCAAAGAAATTAAGTTACTATAAAATGCATTGTACAATTTTGTAAAAAAAAATATATATATATTTAAACATATATATTTAAACATACATACGATGGATACATATATTTAAACGTGCTATATTTCTAAAACACTTATAAAAAAAAGCAAGCATCTCTTTTTCAATATTCGACAACAAAGATGTGAAACTATTCTGCAGTATGTATAAATTTATTTCTGTAAATGATGTGAAGAACGTGTATACACAGTTTCAATATGATGTACATATACAGATTATGCTGAAGGTGATCAGGTGTACATGTGAATGATAAGTATTTTCAATACTACTTGTTCACTGTTATGTATATTGCATGTATAGTGTTTATGTAATTTTTTAGAATATTTAATATTAAAAAGGTTTTATATATATTATACAACGAAGATTATTAAATCCCTCATTGAATAAAATTATTCAATTATTATCAATCTATTAAGGACTAAAATTTATTATCTAAAAATATTATTTGTTAGACACATTAGCAAGGAGCTAAGTGCTCGTCATCTCTATTACCTTTTATTTATATATAAATATGAAGAGCAAAATGCAATATCATCATTATTGAAAAACATTTTAAAATGACTGTGAATGACTTGTGATATTTGACCTTTACAACACATCTTTTGCAGAATTCTGAGAAAATATTGCAGAAATGGTGAAAGACAGATTTAAAGATTCTCATATCTGCTGTATGTCTTGTGTTTAAGTCTATCTAACACTTCTCTATATCTCATTACACATATATTGTACAGTGATTTTTACCATTTTTTGTGATCCACATTCCAAGTAATTGTTTTTGTCCTGCAAAAAGATGGTTGATATGCTTTGTTACAAAACAAATATATGATATATGAATCCGTGTGTACGCATTATGATTATTGCCTATAGTACAGAAAGAGATTAGAAAGCTGTTTACGTAGTATTACATGAACTATGAATGATTTTTGAGATGAGAGAAATACAAATTCTTTGATAAATCATGAATTTTATCGTAATTAACCAATGTGTTTGGCATATTATTAATGAACGTTTGATGAAATAATTACAGATGTACGTATTTGTCAGATATAATACATGAGCTGTACACTTCTATACACTGAACAAATGTTAGAGGCAATGACTTGTGACGTCACTAATGATTTTCACACATTATTTCATTTAAAATTTCATTACACAGACAAATACAATTTGGTTATATAGATTGTGTCAAATTAAAGACAAGGAGAAAAGAAAGCTACTACTGCTAAAAATATCTGTTATTATGTACCTTTGTACCACGTGGTGTTTATTAGGTATGAAATGCGTAAATTCCATAGCTTCATTTTCATTTAGATTCAATTTTTTATCTCTTTGGAATTGTCTAGATGGTACAAGTAGTTGCCCATAAGATATTTCCTACAAAATCAACAATCGAGAGTTATCGCTATCAAAACACTATTAAATTTCCTGTTTTAACGCTAAAGTTAGATGAATATGTCACCTGGCCATCTTTAGCGTGCTCTATACCAAGCAATCCAAACGGATCGATGTTGTCATTAATCGCTGACAACGGTCTCTGAGATGATACATTTTTCCTTCGACTTGTATCTTTACGTAACTCGGACCTGTGAATAGCGTTAGGACACAAATGTGAATTTCATTAAATTTCATATTATCAGCAAGTTACTGAAAATAGTATTGAATAAATTGATGATATTTTGATATATCATCAATTTTATCTTATATCGTTAATTTTATCTTCGTAAGACTCGAAAGTTTTTCGTCCACGTGTTTACGTCTCCAAATGGATAAAATTTTGCTGACCTCACTAACCGAATACATATTGGAGAGAAACACTTGATATTTTGTTTGTGTATATAAATATGATTCCTGTTTGCTGTCAAAAACAGTAAACATGTTTTATATTTCTTTACGTCAGCGACAAAACTTTTCTAGCGCCCTACATACGTGATCTACACATTACTTATAAGAATACTTACATAATGTGTAAAAAGTACGTATATTTATATAAATTATAAATTATCACACATGTGCTGGAAACAAAATACTTGACAAACCTATCAAAGTACTAAAAAATTTTAATTAAAAATAACAAAAGATATTAACGGTCTGCAAATTGAGATTCAATCAAGTAGACATTTAAGATCCAATCAAATTGGACAATTGAGACATTTTGAATTAAAGAATACGTGGATATTAAGTCCTTAAAATAGCTTCTGTCAGATTTTTTCTGAATACAAATTTATTTGAGAAATAATTTTAAAAGTATTTACTAAAAATTCAATATTTTAACATCCTGTTAGAATTATTTTTTTAAACAAAGATATCGACTTATATAGTTTTATAAAAATTTATATTAGAAAGAATGTGAGTCTCACCAACTGGAACGTTGTCCTTTATTATATGGAATAGCAGAGAAAACTACAAATGGCACATGTTGGTTTGATACCAAAACCAGTCTATCATCCCCGAACTTGTAACCGTTCACAGGTCGTTGCATCAAACGCAATTCCTTCGTAACCTCCGGTATTATGCTACTATTTGCAGAAGCAGTTTGCACACTGTTCACTGCCTTCGTCTTTGGTTTAGATTGTGCTTTCGAATGTACGGAGCCGATGCTTTCGTTGCTACTATTGTACTGATGCTTAATGTCTTCCGAAAGCGTAGATGTCTGATGACTTATTCGCTTCTTATATTGAAGAGAACCCACGCGTCTTTCTGGTAAGGAATAGTCGCTTCCGGTAGTTCCCGTTCTGAAAGCAATATTTTATGTATTCAACTCAATATATTATCACAAAGTATAAATAAACAATATATGCGCTATCTCAAAGAAAGATAAAGTTTTTATGTGTGTGTGAAATACTATTATTTCTGATTTATTTTTTCATTAAAAACTGAAATTAATTTCTTATTAACAAAGATCAATTTAAACGTGTTTTTTTTCCTCAGTTTTTAATCTTAAGTATTTTGATAATTAACTCATAAATTGACGTTCTGTGATATTAGATTTAACTTTACACAAAAATAAAGTTTTATTACTTGTGCCTTTTTAAAATTTAAAGCACAAGATATATACTTTAATTCCTTCTTATACAAAATCTATATTGTTTAGAAAATACATTTTTAAATGGGTCAATGAAGAAATTATGGACTTTATATATCCCATACATGTAATATATCCTAGATATGCGTGCAATGGATGGAATGCAATCAAGTTTCTTGATGTTTTTTTCTTTGTGATATTGTAGACGCTTTTGATAATGTTATCTGAATCCGTGTCATTCAATCCTATCTGTACCAAGAAAGTCTTTGAGATAGAGTGTTATAATGCAAAGATTTGTGCATGTATTAATTATTTACATTTTGTTATCGAATGGGTAAGTTAAAATATTTAAAATATAAAACATAGCAGCTATTGTTGTGTGTGATTATAGTCATTTAACTTTATTAGAGTTTAGATCTTCAACTCAAGCTCATTTGGAAATTCTGATGCAAATTCTTAAAGTAATATATATAAATGTGTATATTATTTTGTAACATTTAATAAATCACGTTACGACAAGCCGTCATAATCTATTTGCACATAAAAGGTAAAGTCTCAAAAGATAAGATAAGGTCTATTATTAATCTATCTCTGATAAGTGGTATCTTATTTGCAAAAATGATAATTTTGTATTCAGACGTTGTTTACGATAAATAGGTTGTTTGCCAATTAACAAAGTCATTCAGATTTATACATTTGACACAAATTAATGTTACTTTCGATGCAAACCATTACCTTTCTTCGTATCACAGACATTGCGAGATTATGATAGATTATATTATTTTTAACTGTATTTGCTACTGCAATGAGACTCATGTGATAATAAGTAACTGCAACTGAGACATTTCTTGTGATAGTGACTGACGTGGCGGCATATATAAACATTTGATTTTAGATAATTAATATTGACCAATATATGGGAAAAGGACAGAGAGGCAAAGAACTTTAATGAATGTTGATCTTTGCTGTTACAAAGTTTGTTTATTCTTACAGATGCCTCAGCACACAGATAGAAGCTTCTTGTGCGGCATATATTTTGCCTTTGTATCTTTGTATATAATCATAGAAAGAAGTATCTTCATTTGAATACTGAAGGATATGGCTTATTAGATACTGAATATACACGGAGAAAATTTTATATCAAAAGTTACTATTATAGAGCAGCAGTTGTGAATCATAAGAGGAATTATAAGTTTATATCGCCATTATGTGAAAAACATAGTAAAAAGTTTTATAATTCCTTCACAGTTCTTGGCTACTGCTGTACATAGTAATTTTTGATATAAAATTTTCTCCATGTAGGATTGAGATAAATAAATGTTTACCGTTCTCTAAAGGAACTATGCATGCCGCAAGACAGTTGCAGATGATTTCTCTCCTGCTCCAGAAACATGGTAACCGTCGCTTTGGCAGGAGTGAGCAATCCATCTGAATCAGAACTTAGCGAGTTGTGGTCAATGCCTTTGTGCACCAGCGATTGAAAGTTGACTTGCTCTATTATTTCATTTTGCAAGAAATCGTGGGCCTCTTCCAGACCGGCGTCTAAAACCTCTTCCATGGAGACTTCAAAGTCAGTGCTCTGACACACGTCGAGCGCTGTCTGCTGATCTGACTGGCCATCGCTAAGCGTACGCATGTGAGTCGGTTCATTTCGTGACAAGACGGCTAACCTGGTGTCCCGGTGACTGCCGTCGAGAGAGATGTTGGACAGGAATGTGAGGGCGGCCAATCTTCTGCGTGAGTTGTTTTTCTTTAAGGCCGCTGCCATTCCACGATATATCGTGTCGGGACACCGGTACCGAATACAAAGACAAGTAAGGATAATGTGCGCCCGATGACGACGGCGCCGGCGACGACGACGACGACGGGAACGACGACGACGACGATGGCGACGGCGACGACGGCGGTAACGACGACGACGACGACCGCGGTGACGGTGACGACGACGACCGCGGTGGCGGCGGCGACGACGACGACCGCGGTGGCGGCGACGACGACAACCGCGACGGTAAGTTTACCGAACAAGGACGACTACTAGGATCACAACGCATTGTCACTGCTGATACACTTAGTTCTAACATCATCAGTCACGATCGAAGCCGTGCACCATACAAACAAATGCAAATTAGTGTCGCTGATCATCATGCCGTTCCTCTGACGAGCCGCTTCACGAACACGCGTTACTTATCGTATGACTTTACCCACTATGCGCTACTACGCAACACTCGTTCTCCCGTCAACGAACGGACAGTGCCTAAATCAAATGTAGATGGCAAAGTAGGGAATTATAACTTCTCTCTTGGAAAATAGAAAGATAAAGTCCCTAGAAGTAAAAATCTGGTCTATTTTATCTTATTTTTATTGGCCAATCTGTAATAGCGGAATGTCAATATCAACAAATCAGAGATGAACTAATGCCCATTTCTATCAACGTAGTTTAAGAAATTAATAACTAGTAACATCCGGTTATGACGAATCGTAAACCAAATTAAGCCGAATAAATCGAATATTACTAGAAATTAACTTAAACCTCATTGGTAGAAACGGGCATAAGCACGCTTTTTATTTCTAGAAACTCTAATCCCGTATTAAATTACACATTGAAATTTGACTAATTAGAACAAAAAACTTTTAGCTCCTTTTGTTTCAATTGGTCAAATTTCAATCTTCAATACGTTGTCTGATACGAGCTTAAGGAGAGACAATTTTGAGCGTCACCATGCTCCGGAATTAAGAACTAACAGTGAATGAGTGACAAGTGTGTTTAATTCAAATGTATACATATTTGTTTTTATTTTTTGTTTATTATTTATCATAATTATATGTTGCTTTCAGTTGCTAAATATTGCTGATTGTATTGACGGCTTGGAAATGTTTCGCTTACGAGTATGAAATGAGAATGTTTCGTAAATTAGAAAGGCACGATCTTTCTTTATGATGGATATATTGTTTACGCGTATACTTATATCTGCATACTCAATGTAGAGAATCATGCTCCCTAATTTGTGAAACTGTATAGGGTTATTTAATTAAATTTAAATAATTTAATTAAATTTATTTAATCACAGAAAATCAATACAAAATTTTAGATATATTCTGTACAGAAATAAAAATAAACTTTGTAGTTATTACAAATAAAATATAAAAAATTCAATAAAATAAAATTTAATTTTATTTGTTATTGTTTTATCGTTTGGTTCAAAATTACAAGTTAATAATAAGACAAGTTTAATGAGCCATACAAATATGCCTACAATGTTTCTATGACTACACTGAGCAAAACATTGCTATTTCTCATATCACACGATATTTTACGCTCACTGTTATTAGATAAATACGCAGTCGTCTATTTCTTAATAAGAGAAGCACTATTTTTAAACTAATATCTAACTTTTAACTTGAATTAATATCCAACACTATTTATTTTTCCGAAAAAATGGACTCGGAGAAAAACGGTTCTGATAAAATCGGAGAACGACCGGTTACTCGTTGGCGACGGGACCAAGAGGATATCGCTAGCACCTCGAATAAGATTGACAGACCGCCGACAGGTAGACCTCGAAGTAAGTACGAACGACCGAGGTCTCGCCGAGGGCATAAGGACGAGCCGCCGGAATACGTCGGCTCGGCCACCTTCCGCTCGGCAACACCTAGTCGTTTTGCTCTGGCAAGACCACCGTCGGCATCTATCATGTCTAATCGTGCACCAACTGCGAGCTCGGGACTCAGAATAGGAACTGGACTAAGTCGCACGAACATGGGACTGGTAACTGCCAAGCAATTCAACGTGAACATGCTGGACAGACCAATTACTCAGCACGGAATGGCAGGCATACGACCGAGTACTACTAGAGGTTTACCGATGACAAGGTGAAATATTATTAATTTTGCTGCTGTTTGTATTTATTTGATATATTGCCATTTTTACGTATGTTAATTGATAGCAATATATTATTTCTTAATATTCTTAAATTTCATAAATTTTTCTTAGGCAAATTCAAGACAAGAGATACTACGAGGGCCTGCTGCAGTTAAAGATAAGAGAATTAACACAGGAGATTGCGATAATAATGAAAGATGTTGAAGTGCAAAATAAGGAGAAGGCTACTTTTCTGCACTACGATAAGAGAGCCAAAAGTCTAGCTGCAGAATTGACGACTTTACAGGCTGAGTTAGCGGATTATAATCTCGTCGTAGACAAGATGACTTCAGATGTCGATAAGGAAATTGTCGAGCAAGAAGCTAAAGAGCTGATGCTAATAAATGAGCGCAGGACAGCGGAAGTCGAACGAATGTTCGAGCAACGAAAGCAGATGGAACAGAAACTGCATAAGTTACAGAAGGATATTGAAAATGAAAAAAGGAGGACCGAGCACATTGTCGAGAGTATGGATTCGCATACGAGAGAGAAATACGACGATTTATTGCGACAGAAAACGGAATTACAGGAGCAAGCTCAGCAAATACAACGCGAATTGGATCAGCTGTCGAAAGAGCAGGCACATTTGGAAGAACAAATAGCACTGTCACAACTGAAGCAAGAGGCAGTGAAGCTACAAGTGAGAATCATAGAAGCGGAGGAGAAACGGAACAGATTGCGCGAAGAAGAGCGCACGAGATTGTCACCAGAGGATGAAAAAGAACAGCTTTTGCAAAAAATCAAACGCGATAACAACGATATTGCCGCGACAGAAGCGCAGATAGCTGAGAAGGAGAGAAAGGTAACAGAACAAGAACAACAGCTGGAGCAGCTAGAAACTGACTTGGAAGACAATCAGTCAGAGAAACAAAATAAATATCAGGAATTGCGTAAGCGTGAAGAGCTGATGGAGGAGTTCATGTCCACGTATGAGCAAAGCAAGCAGGAAGAAATGGCAAAACTGGAGAAGCTCGAGCGAGAGATCATCGACAAGTTAGAGGCCGTAGCAAACGCGACAGAGAACGAGTATCTGACCGAAGCTGAAGAAACGATGGTTCTACGCGACAAATTATCGTACAACGATTACGAGATGGCACATCGCGACGATGACTTTGAGGAGTTAAAGAAAGACTATGTAACTATGCAACAGACGTTCAATAGATTGAGGATTTTGGAAGAAAAGTTGCAATTAGAGTCAAAGCAAATGAAGGAGAAGCTAGAGAAACAACAGAGTGAGTTAATTGTTTTGGAGGATTTGGACGGCTTGAAAACGCGAAATGAACTCAAGCGGGATGAATTGATTGCTGAACGTGAGGGGCTTGTATCTGAAGAATCGATTTGTGAAGATGACCTCAAGTCTTTAAGAGTGGAATACAACGAGTTCAAAGAAAAACTGAAGAAATACGCAGTTTATCCGGAGATAAGTAATCTGGAAGATAAATTAGAAAATTTGAAAGAAAATAATAAGAAAATTGAAGAAATTATAACCAAAGAAAAGAATCGTGTTAATTATGAGCCACACAAACAGAAAGCTTTTAAATTAATTAATGATTACAATGTAATGTTGCAAGAAAAACTGAAATCTCTGTATTAGACTTCAATAGTTTCTTTATCTTATTTTTAAAAATATTTATTTGACGATAATAAATCGGTGCAATTGTATTCATGCATGTTTTAATAATTATAACAAGTTAGTGTTCTTGTATGAAAATTTGAATCAAATTAAATTTGCCTTTGTAAGTATAATTTATAGCAGTTAACTAACATGAAAATAATAATTGTTACATTTAAAAAACATTTGTATAATTACTGCATAACACAATATATTAGAAATTATAAATTATATATTGCAATGTCACTGTTTAATTTATGTGATTTCACAAATAAAATATAAGTATGATAAATATACAATAAAGTACCTTTACAATATTTTATTATAAACTATTAAAGGAATGTATTGAATTAATCAGAAAATTTCTTTGGATTTCTCGATAAGAATAAATGCAAAATTCCAAAGAAACTTTCTGATCATCCCAGTAATATAATAATAATTATATTAATTATTATAAAATATATCAAGCTTTTACTTATTTGTATTTATTGTCATATTTACATTTACTTCTTTATTTTATCTATTTTGATATTTTTACTTACTTTAAATTCAAACGTTTGTATCGAAATTGCCAGAATGATTCTCATAGTAATAAAAACATTTTTTATGTATATCTTATTTTAATAGAAAATGAGCGTTATTTTTTTCTACCTTTATTTGATCTGCATAGCATGCTTCAACTCTATATGCCGTGTTGTCAAACCTGACCCGAAATAAAGACAGAAAAACACTTCTCAAATGAACAAAAAGATATCTTTTAGATCCCTAAAAGATATCTTGCTATGTCTTGAGATGTCTTACATTTTTAACGAAAAGATATCTTTTAGGAATCTAAAATATCTTTAATTAAATGATAATAAAAAAAAAAATATCTAAAATATCTTTTTGAGATCTTTTAGATGTCTATAGATATCTTTTAGATATTCTATAAAGATATCTTCAACGAAACTTTTTTAGACATCTTTTAAATAACTTCTAGATATCTTTTAGAAATATCTTGAAGACATCTTGAATAAAATATCTTTTCGATGTCTACAAGATTTCGATGTTTACTGGGTTGTTAGTACATTTACAAGGTGCAATACTCCTAAAATTGTGTAGATTATATTATTTTTTTACTCTCTCTTTGAACTATTTAAATAATTCAGATATATAAAATATTCTAATTTTATCCGAATCTAATACAAATATGTATATGCATGTCATGATAAAAGCATTTGCAGTGTACATAAACATGTGCAGCATAAAAAACTGAGAAGATCCGTTTTTGTCCCATGTCGCTACATTAATTTTTTGCTGAGTTATAGCGTTTTGAAAATTCAGCACATGTGCCGTCTATAAATAGACTGAAGATAATAAGATAATACTGTTTATAAACTCAGTATGACGTTTTTCATATTGAATATAATCGAGATTGCAATCAGGTACATTTAATGTTTTAATAATTTCGTGAATTGTGTTTTCAACTCTTTACTCTACAGGATTAACGTTTTTTGTTTGACATTCTTACTCTAGGCGAGTTGGACCACCATTAATCAAAGTATTCTGAGCTGTTAAATTATTTCAACGATTATCAATGATTGTACTACTTTTACTGAAATATGTGGTTGTCTTATTGTTTAAAGGACTTTCGATAAATTTTAATTTTTGACTCTTAATTTTAACTTAACATATTACTGACATTCTCTTATATTCTTTAATATTCATAGTTTTATGTATTATAATTTGACCATCAATGATTGTAACAGCTTCAGCTCTCTTTGTCAGATATGAACAAAATATTGCATAATTGCGTTTGCGTTTAATTTCTGTATAATTGTGTTTGCGTTAGAGATTAGGTAATTTAATTTCTAATATTTATTTGTTTCTTAAACACTGAGGATAGCCAAATCCGATGACCGAAACGTTTGTATGTTCATGTAAATGTAAACAATAAATTGGAACGCTCAGTCCTAGCTCTGGCTTTGTTTATCTTTTAAAGAGAGTCGAATTATTGTATTAATTGAAGAGTCTATTTTTAAAATTATTTTTTAATATATTATAATTTTCTATTTTAGTAATTCTGTAAAAAGAGCTTCTGATTTCGGATAGATTCGCATGTTTAAGAATAGGTGCAGATCGGCTCCAGAATTGAAGAGTACGCTTGTTTATCTTTTCTTATCTTTAATATTCATGCTGCTGCATAGATTTAATACATGTAACTTCTTATGATAAATTCCCATTACTAAAAAAGCTAACTTTTGCTCGAAACTTCGAGCAATCCTACACAATGCCAAACGGATACTGACAACAATCTTCTGCATGCATAGGGGAACTATTATCTTTGTTTTATGTTCTATAATTATGAGATTATATTTTATTTTTAATGTTGTAACAATATTGAATAAACTATCTTACAAACTATGATAAAGTATAGAGTTAATACATTTTATCGTTTGTGATAATCTTATGTTACTTATCATTTTTACTTGTTGTCAAATCGTTTCTTTCTTTGTATTATAGAAACTAATTTTTCACTTGCAGTTGTATCAATTTCATGACACATGATTATAGTTATCTTATTGATAAAAGTTAGTTCACGATAGAGTGATCGCAAGTGCCTTAGGAAATACAATGAATAAGTTCTTGATTGTCTTTGTTTGTTCACAGTCCATGATCTTGGACTTCAAATTCAAGAACCTCTCTTTGGGCATAGTTGCTTCTCGATCGTCTGGATTGATGCGGCAGTGCGTATCTTAATTTGTCCCAAAACCAAGGATCTCCCCATTTAACGTACGTGTTCATAGATATGTACGCTCTGAGTTCAGGATCCAGATCATCTCTGGGTCCGATGTTACCATACAAAATTAGTATCACTCGCGCCCGACCTTCGCTTAACGCTTGACGATGAGCAGCCCGAAATTCCATTCTTCCCCAGATGCTCTTCAAGAAATTTGGCGACAGCACCACTATCGTCCGTCTAAAATTTTCCACGGATCTAGCAATATTATCCGGTATCCATTCGCCCGCTAACCAATCTCGATAATGAACACACAATTTGAATGGTGTTGGGCCACTCTCGAGGTTCGGTATCAGCTCGTCTGCTATAAAATCGATATCCTTGTGCGAGAAGCTCACAAACGCATCGTACAATTTGTCCTTATCCAACTCCTCTTCCGTAACACACCATAAACACCACTGATGCGCAAAAAGCCATATTTTTATGTGTTCTTGGTATTTGTAATACAGACCAAAAATACCACCAATTAATCCAAAAAGAGCAATTGCTGCACTGATGCTGATAATCAATTGATGCTGATAATCAGATGCTGTTGTATCAAACGGACAAAAATCGTCCCACATCATTTCTGATATTGATGTATTCTTTCTATGACATATTGTTTTAGACGTCATTATTCTAGATTTTTCTGGATTATTCTGGATAGAAATAATAAAATCATAAAAATCTTTAGCATTACAGTCACATTCCCAAGGATTTTCATGTAATGTCAAGTGAGTTAAATTGGTAGAGTTTTTCCAAAATATCAGCACATCAGAATGAATTGTTGATAATTTGTTATTGTGTAGCTCCAAATCCTGAAATATGTGTATGTTCAGTTTGATTCAAATTTTAATAGTAAAGTTTAACATTCTTTTATAATACTTTTAAGGATTAACAATTTTTATAATTTTATATTTCTGCCATACATACATATATTTTATAGATTATTACATATAGTTACTTGTAAAAAAACTTCAAAATTAATTTGTTAAATTTTGTTAATTAGACATTTCGAATTTGTTTTTGTAACATACGTTTCTAACAGTTTCTTTGAATTTCTTTTGTATAAATTATTCTTATGTAAAATACAATTAAATTACGCACCTCTGTTGTTTTCGATAATCCATTTTTGGAAATGGTAGATATGTCGTTGTGAGATAAAAAAAGTTTATTTACTGATCTGAGTTTTAAGTTTTCCAAATCTGGCATTTGTGTTAACTGATTATGGGAGAAATTCAAATAAAATTTCGAAATTGTGTCAACTGATTTTGTTAAATTTCGAATAAAATTAATGTTAGGTTCTTTTATATTGTTTGGCACGTAAGTTAAGTTTTTATGAGAACAGTCAAATATGAAAGCTTCATCATGAGGCTTCAAAAAGCAATCGCACTTTTTGGGGCATATAGTAATGGAATCTGTGTTTTGTATTCTACAGGTTAAATTTTTAGAATATAACCAGACTTTTTCCACTTCTTTTGGACTATGACAAATTAAATTGTCTAATCCTATCTGAAAATAGCTTTGAACTTTACGCATTTCGCCTTCGTAATAACGTAGAAAATCGTACACGTTACAATCACAATTTAATGGATTATTTTCCACTAATATTTTTACGTTGCGAAAAGTTTTGCTATTCTCTCTTATGATGTCTTCGGCATCGTGTAAAAGGATACGCTGTATTTTATTATGAGTCAAGTTTATCAGAATGTTGTTCGATGAAAACTGTAAATCATCTGTCTAAAATTAAAAAAAAAAATGGTATTGTCATACATTCATCATTCACAAGAACAATTTCATATATCTAATATACACGGTGTTCCAAAGTTAAATGCTTAAACTTTGTCAGTATATTCTATGATTAGAAATAACGGATTCATTGTTAATAACAATTTCGCTGTTAATATATTACGAGGTGAAAGTAAGTCAACAATGTTTATCTAATAAGTTTATTGTTGCTATGTTCATTATTTGAAATCATCGAAGGTAATCAGTTTCGATGAATGAGCGAATATATGTCAGTTTCAAAATTAGTTTATTATATCAGTAAATGGTAAAATTTCATAATAAAATGTCACAAGTGTTCTGGAACAAAAAGTACGCATATATGATTTTTGTATATAACTTCTGCAATAGAAATTGTCGAGTTGCAAATGAATATCAATGGAGATTCTTTAATATAGAAGAGTTCCAACAAATTTCAGTTTTTTCAATATAATGTGATAGCAAAACGTTTCTAAAATCTATATTTATACAACATTTTTTCTTATTTCTACTTATTAATCAAACTGGTAAAGTTTAATCGCTTAACTTTAGAACATCCTGTATATATCACTTTTTGAGGTGCTGTTTTAAATACTTACTTCTATAGTAGATATGTTGTTATAGCTGAGATCCAATATCTGAAGATTATAGTAACTTTTCCAATCGGTCAATATTTCGGAAATGCTATTGTTAACTAAATATAATTTTTCTATGTTACTAGAGATTATTAAGAATGCATTGGACTTTTTAGATAATGTAAGACAATTGTGGGACAAGTTAATAATCTTCAATCTTCTTAAAAAAATAAAAGCATAATCGAAAATAGTACTTAAATAATTTCGTTCCATATTTAGTTGTTTCAATTGGAATAATCCATAAAATATGTTTCTGAAATATAAAAAAGATTTCTGTATTAGTAAAATTATAAAACATATAAACAATTATTATCAATCATATAATAAAAGCGATTTAAACATACTCGGAAATTGTAGTAATGCGATTATTTGATAAATTCAATATTTCTAATGTATTGGTATTTTGGAAAATTTTATCCGGCAAAGCTTCTAGATAATTAGAATCCAGATCCAATTGTTTTAACTTTGACAAATCTTGGAATATTTTTACAGGCAAAGATTGGAGGAAATTGTTACTCAATATAATGTACTCCAGCGAAGATGATCCCCAAAAGATATCTTTCGGTAATTTGACTAGTCTATTATTTACCAGATCCAAATATTTTAGGTTTGGTAAATTACTAAAAAATCCATTCGATAAAATCAGATTTCTTTGGTTGTCGGTTAAGTAAACTTCTTCCAATTTTGTATTGTTTTGTAGAAATACTTTTGGTAGATTTTTAAACTTGTTTGCTTGTAACAAAAGAACGCGAAGGTTTTCCAGTTTTGCAAATATATTTTCTGGTAAACTGGATAAGTTACTATTATAAACACCAAGGTTGTCCAGAGCGACAAGTTTGTCGAAAATACACGCTGGAAGCTCGGTTAATGAATTATTATTTAGATACAAGTCTTTTAAATTTGTCAGTTTATCAAATGCGGTTGGTTCTATTCTTCCCAAATAGTTATTCTCCAAAAAGAGTTGAATTAATTTGGGGGTAAAATTAAAATATTCAGCGACCAAATGTTCGATGTGGTTGTTCGACAGTACTAGAATTTCCAATTCTCTCAAATCGGCTGACAGATTGTCCAAATGAATGCGATAGTTGCTTATTTTTAGAAATTTTAAATGTTCAAAACCGTTTAGAAAATGCTTTCCCAAGGTCAAGTTTTTATTTTCGTATGAGTTAAAATATAATTCTTCAGTGTTTGTAGTTCTTAGCATTCGTGCAATGTCAATCCATTTGACGTTCTTAGATAAATTACACTTTTCAAAGTGCATCCCAAAAATCGAAAAATTATTATAAAACGTAATATTATTTACGGCCAAATTAAAATCTGACAAGTCCGCTGAGTTGATACAGGTGACCTATGTGAAAAAACATTTTTTATGTAAATTTGATTAAATTATCTAAAAGTTAAAAGAAAAAAGAAGACACGTTTATTTGTAAAACTTTCCATGAATTTAATACAAAATTATTTTTTAATAGTATGTAGAAGTAAAATAAATAGTTTTTAAAATAAATAGTTGTAAGTAAGACATTGAAGAACTTTTTAAAGAAAGATGGAACACAAAATTTTTTTAGAAAATACTTTGCTCTACGAAAGATATTATTTTGTATAAAAAACATGAATATTGTAATCATAAAAAATTTAATATTTTTTAATATTCGATGTCTTATAATATTTTTGAATTGTATTATATAGCAAAGAATCTATTTGTATCTATATTAGTCGTTTTTTAATTTTATAGCTTTGGTTTAGATTTTTATAGTGTTATTGATTGTGAGTACATAAAGTTTGAAAATTATATATCGCACAAGCGCAAGAAAAGTGACACCAAGTCAAAATTTTTTGAATTTATTTTTGTGTGCGGATTGCGTTCTCAATCAGTCTTTAATCAGGAAAAGTGTTAGAAGTTGAATTTAAATACTTTCCGCATGAGTCCGATATGTTTAATACTGTCGTACATAATTAATTTTAAAATTATTGTTTAACCAAGTATAGACATGTCGAATTATTTTCTGTAAAATCAACTTTGCCTTAATTGATTTATACTTAGTGACAGAACTTGAAATAAAAACTAATTTATGATATTATTAATGGGAAACGTTATTATTAAAGCAATTTCTTCTTTTCTCTCTAATAATTTGATATTTTTCATTTGTTTTATTTTTTTTGCGGGTGTGCGATATGTGTAGATATATATCAATATGAAACGCTAATGATTGATTGAATACGTACTGTTATTTCATTCAATTCATTGTCGGATATAGTCGGTTCCGAATATATTTCGAAAACAGAATTATTATTATTTATTGTACAATTCATACTAAATGCATAGCGACCGAATTTTTTACATTGACACTCCTTGTTTGTTGGACATTGGAAAGCAAAAATGCTTGTCATAGCAATGAACAGAATTATGATGCATGTCTTATGACGGGTACTCATTTTCGTCTGATTAACCTATGAAAAACTATTGAGTGAATGTATTATTAAATAAAGATTAATTTTATTAAATTAATAACTACAAAAAAAAAGAATTTTTTTTAAACTTTCAGATACTTCCTGATATTGGATAGATTTATTTCTTAAAGTTTTAAATAAGTCTCAAATAATTAAAAAATCGTAGGACCTGTCTTAAAGACACATTTTGTTTTGCTAGCATTTTGTTTTATAATGTGTATAATATGTATAAAAATTGTATATGTATAAAAATTGTATATGTATAAAAATTATAAAACATGGATTGTTTCTGACAATTTTTACACAGGTAAGTGCAGTTGTTTGTTTACGAATTAGCTAGGTTTAATTTAGCTGTGTATGTAAATCGTGTTAGGAACAAGATAGTAAAATTATTAAACGCCGTTTATCGTTTACGTAAGTGACATATAAATATACATGTCCCACTTGCAAATAATAATTTTAATCTTCCTCTTCATACTTTTTAAATATTATAGCAAGTAAGGAGCAATCGTCAGAAAAACAGAAATCAATTATTCTTGAAAATCAATTACATTAATAAATAAAAAAATATTATATTAACCGGCGATATTTATTTCTTAACGATTGTAATTGATTTACACATTTTGTAAACGCATTTACTACAGCGCAAATATACGGTTAAATTCTACATTACATACGTGAATGATTATTTACAGATAGTGACGCATAAATAGATTCATAAAAATAAAATTTATACTATTTACTCACCTTATATTATATTAAATACGTTGCAAATGTTTTCGAGCTTTGTTTTAAAATTGCTTTCTCTAATAAAAAATAATGATGACAAATGATGCTGGATAATATTATTTCTATCTACGGGTATCACACATAAGCACTGCTTGGCATGTTCGTTAACATTTCTGATAGATTGGTTTGTTTCAATTGTAAATTACGTTCCTTAGTAAATTATGGAATAATGGGTTAACAAAACGACATAAAAGAATTATGCCAGATCTAATTAGCAAAATTATAATGATGTTTCACACTCGCAAACAATATATTTCAAAAAATTGTCGACAATCAGTCATTCGTTAGATGGCTAATCGGAGTTTAACACTTTTCTCCCCAATAAAAATTTTAGAGTTGTTACCCCTGAGCTGGTTCAACATAGACTGACTGAGTGATTGCAAACTTTACTTTTTTTTCTTCTGACTGTTTCCGCTCTCTTATTGTTTCTCTGTTATTTATACTTTTTAGTTTTGTACAATTATATAATATGCAAAAAATGTGTTAAACTGTTTGCGTGATACACAAGAAGAAATTAAAAGCATAAATCATAAATAATTTATTTTTTCTGAGATGATGTTTTTATTCTTTCTAAAACAATTGTTAGAATTGACTTAATTAATCTCTAATAATCAACAGAATTTCCTATCACAAAACCACAAGAAGGAAGGAAGAAAGATATGAAAAACAAATTAACTTATTGCGTTTTAATTTCTGAAGCCAGATATTGGTCACATTATTATATTTATACTTTTTATATTACATATTAATATTTAAATTTAATTATACATAATAAAGTAGACAAAAATCGTAATTGATTAAATTAATAATATTTTTCAATATTTATATTTCTAATTAAAATTTATAATTCTTTTGTTTAAAGAAGATAGACAATATTTGTCAATAGATAATATATTGTCAATGTTCTTAAATTGTTAGAGATTTGTTTACAATATTTTATGTATGTATGTATATTTTGTTATATTTCTGCATAACTAATTAAGTCATACAGTTTTTATACTTTCTAGAACATTAGAATTGACGCAATTAATCTCTAATAATCAACAAAATTTCCTATTACGAAACCGCAAGAAGGAAGGAAGAAAGATATGAAAAGAAGTTAATTTATTGTGTTATAATTTTTGAAGCCTGATATTTGTCATATTATTATATTTATACTACATGAATTACATATTAATATTTAAATTTAATTATACATAATAAAATAGACAAAAATTATAACTGATTAAATTAATAATATTTTTCAATATTTATATTTGTAATTAAAATTAATATTTCTCTTGTTTAAAAAAGATGGACATTTTTCAATGAATGATATATTGTCAATGCTTTTAAATTGTGAGAGATTTGTTTACAATATTTTATGTATGTATGTATATCTTGCTATTTCCACTAATTAAGTCATGCAGTTAAAAGTTAAGTATTATATAGAATTACCCATTTGCTGATGTAAAATATCTTGAAAAAATTGCATTATTCAAAAAATGTTCTATAAAAAAATTGAATTTTAGAAAAACGATATAACATTAATCTTGATCTGATGTTAGTTGATATTACTAAGATGAGGTAAAGTCATCACAATTTGTTTTATGTATATAAAAACTCATTTTTTATTGCACATTTGTTAGCCGACGTCGAAATATTTGCAAACATTAAAATAAAGCCTTTTTTGCTTAACATTTTTAAAGTTACAAATTTTGAAAATATGACACACTTTGACAGAATGAGAAAGGAAGGAGATTGCACGATCGGATCATGCATATCGGTGATCAGTTCAGCTATTTCTTCATGACAGTTTTTAATTTCTCGTTGTTTTCAAAGCGCTGTATTTGAAGAAACGATAATCACTTGAAGCAAAATTAAGACCGTACATATAATAAATCATCAAATAACTTTCAAATAAATTGTTGTAGAACTTTTTGAGTCGTGGTATGCAAGTGCGCGTAAAAGAAATGTTGTTTGTAGACTTTATGACTCAAGGAATCATAATCAATTCCCAAATGTATTGCGAGACACAAAAAAAGTTTATAAAAGTCATTTAAAATAAGACGTAGTATATTGATTTCCCGAATATATTGTATAAGTCTGCTGCATAACAACATTGAAATGCATCTTAAAAATATGTGCTTAGCAAATTAAATCAAATTTCGCGCAGTCTTACTAAAATCAGATTTTGTTACAAAGAGAATTGATTAGTTTATTTTTTGATGTAATAAATGTTTTCATTTTTTTTTAAATGTAACACACTCCTGACTTTCTCAAGATACAAGTTGTCAAGCTATCAGTTTTTTAGCGTATTTTTAGTTGCGGAAAATTTGATTTAATTTGTTAACCGCATATTTTTGAGATGCACCTCAACGTTTAAATTTTGAAAAGATATAATATTCGCTGTCTTATATAAGAATATATTATGTGAATAGACACTCGTGTTATTTTATCCCACAAATGTAAGCTACTATTATTTTGGTATAAATCAAATTTATTACAACTGGAAATACAAAAGATATAGATCACGCAACTGTCAAGCATGAACACTGACTAATGATATGGTTTGAGCGATAATAAATGTCTATGCTTATGACATGCGCAGAGGACAATACTACACCGATTAACAATAACGGGATTGTTGGAATCTCTGACTCTCCTCTGTTATCAATATTTATCATTGCAATAATATTATCATAAGTGGCCATAAGTACGTATTTATTCACGAATTCTATTTAATGTTTATTTTCTTTTTTTTTTAATTTTACACAAAAATTTTTACAGAGATAATAGTGTTAGGCATTGAAAAGTTAAATTACAGCATCAAAAAAATTATTTTCAACAATTTTAAATATTCCAAAAAATACGTAAAATCTGTTATTAATGCCATAAATACAGCATCACAATTCAGTATTTCTGGATCAACTTATTGTTCAATAAAGGTAAGATTTAAAAAGAGTGCAATAATACAATGTTAATATAGAAAGCAAAATTCTATTTTATTTCGGTACAGAAAAATATACATGAAAAAAATGATTTTGTGAAGAAAACAATAATATTAGATAGCACAAAATAATTGCAATCAATCTCACTTAACTTCTCAGGAACAAAATCTGCTCTGCTAGCATCTATAATCATGAATCAATTCAATTAATCTGTGATATCAATACAAGATAAATTATGTTTCAAATCCCGTTGTATTTCAATTAATGAACCGGTTCTTACACATGTTTGATTAAATATTATGTTCATGTATATTTAGAATAATTTGCAATAAGCTAATATAAAGAAATTTTAGTTATTTGGCAATAAATAATAAAAAATCCTTGTATATGTATAACTAACTGTTATGAGAGGATTTTTACACTGTTTTCTTATTATATGACAATAATATTAAATAAATGAATACAAAGTAATAAATCTTATTGTTAACACTAATCGGCCATTAAATTTAATTACATTCATTACTGTGATTTCAGAATATTGAAATTTGTACGTACATGGAATTTTCACTCGTAAACAATAGCGATAAAATTTTAATTTATATAGCGATGAAATTTTAATTTAACATATGTTTGTCATCCGATAATTTGTATGAGACGAAATACCGAGCTCCATGCATTTTTAATAAAGTTACTATTTTTTTATAAGACTAGTAATAGGAAGGAAGTCTGCTTATTGCTTGCTTATGATATTTAATACAAGAATCTCGAGGATTCATAACTCAATGAAGAAATGATTCACTATATATATTTTCAAATAGGCTTATTTACAAATTTTACATTTTACAATCTCCCATCTTTCGTAGGTATGATAATAACATAGCATTACTGCAATTTAGTTTGTATATTTATTTATACAATAATCTCATTATAATAAATTATATATATATATATATTTTTTAAATATGTATCCATGTACGCATGTGTACATTCAAATATGTATACAGAGTGAGTTATCTAACATTTGCGTCTAAAATACCTTCGTTCTTAAGTTCTCGCGTCTTTAAAAATAAAAGACATTTTAGATATAAACATTAATTCACTCTGTATAAACTTACAAGATGATTCTAAAGTAATTTATCAAACTTTTAGATATATTTCTTCACCAAATTTTTTAGAATTTTCAAATTTATTTTTTGATAACAATTTGATTGAATATCACTTTTTTAATATTTAAATATTAATTTTTTTATGTTTTTGTATGTAAGATTATTTAATTGTTTTGGCACCTACTTTAAACTTAAATTGTGTAAAAATAAAATAATTTAAATTAAACCTAAAAAGAATAAGTTTTTATTTATTTACGATTTATTTATTTTTTATTTATTTTTATCCATAAAGTTTAATTTAGAAAAAACAATCTTTGTCTTTATATATGTATTATAAGGAAGGTCAAGTTGTTTAAAGAATATATCTATAAAGTTCGATGAGACCTATTTTAGAATCACATTGTACACATATGTACAGATACATATGTCGCATAGAAATAATGTTTGACACAGTTTTGGCGAATGGATTGGCTAGGACAAGTTATATCTTTACGATTTACACAGTTAATTGCGACTGATGTTCTCATCACACACACGCTTCCTATCTTTTGATTAAAATTACCACCAAGCCTCTATATCTTAATTTTGGACTTTGCTTTCTTGCAATCACACCATGTCTCCGTTAACAGATAGCCGATCGTGGATAAGACAGAATGGGAACAGCTCGGTATGATGTAGTACGATATTCATTAATTAATATAGAAGTTAATATTGTCAAATTACAAGCACACGAAAATTTTCTTACAGAAAAACATGAAATTACACGTAATTTTCAATGCTATTTTTCTTTTTCTTCTATATTTGACAATTGTTTTACGTTATCGTTTACATAATCTTTATAAGCAAGTAAAGCAAAGTAAACACTGAAAATATCATTTACATTTTCTGTACAAAATTTCTTGGTCCCAGAGAAACAAGACCAGATAAAGTGCATATAAATTATTGTATGAATTATTATAAATTAGTTTTCCAGATATTGATTCTGAGACAATAATTTCATTTTGACTTTCTTTTGTAGATTGGCAAAAGCATGAAATTGTTATTACAATTTCTCACACGTGTGAAAATAATCTGCTATCCGTCAACGTACATAGATTATTTATCTAATAGTAATATTATTTAATCTTATCTAATAAAACGTTTTGCCTCACATTTAATCATTTTTCAATATAGTAATAGTATAATATATCATAAATATACATATGTAGGATGTATCTCAAGAAAGATATGGATCAGTAGCCTTGATGCATGCGACTTTCTTTTATTGCTAGTAGAAATTTAATTAAAGCTTGATTAACGAGTTAGTTAAAATATGAGCAAATACCATAAATTAAGCAAGCGCTAGACAAATCTAGTTTTACTTTCATACAAACTTGTTACTGATACATATTTTTGCTTGATCATCCTTTACATCTATACAGGGTGTCGCAAAAATTGCGTATAAAAACCTCGTAGCAGAAAAATTCACGCAAATTAATAATAATAAAAATGCATCGAATTTTTATTCCGAGAAATAGTTCTTCTAAATATAAGAGAAGTTCGGTCAAATCATAAGTTGCGATTAAATAGTTATTTGAGTCACATTTACGATAATGTTAATGTTAATAACCGCGCGGAATTATCATTTATCTACTGTTTATGATCGCGCGAAGCTTCCTTTAATCACAGCTCATGACTTAACCGACCCAATTCATATCTGAAAAGTTATTACTTAGAATGAAAAATTTGCATATTTATTATTTAACTTTTCGCCAACTTTTTTGGTGCATTTTTTATATCGAATTTTCGTAACACTATGTATATATATACATACTCATATTTATACTTATATAGTAAATAAAATTTTTTAATTACTATACTCGACGCAATAATTCTATACAAATACACTGATTTCTTTAGTAGGTTGAAGTACCTGACAACAGTTTCCGCTTAACGAATGCACAGTCATATTTAGTGTCATTGAGCTCGTATCATTACTACAATGATCGCTTTCCGTTTTGTTACACTGTAAGTATAAACAATAACATAATATCTATATAAATATGGAGCGGTTTTCTTTGTGATATGGACCACCCATCAAAATACAGATAGCTGCTGAGAAATTCTGACATATGTGACGTGTGTCGACGGTATCGCGCGCATTATATAGACATAAAAGGAGAAATTTGCATGCATCTCCTTACTTACAATTCTCAATTCTTTTTTTAATAACTTATTAGAGAGGATTATATATAAATATATTCTTAGATCTAAACATTATGAAAAAAATAATAAAAAATCATGATTATTGATAGTTTGCCAGCAAAAGTTTCCTTTCTCCTTTAACAAAATAGAGAATTCCAATGAGAACTCAAAACAGAGAACATTAATTACAGTCTTATTCTGCAAAATTTTGATAATAATTTACTTTACACTTAACTGTTAAAACTTTCATTTCAAATATACTTCGACGTATATTGCAATAATTTGTAAATAATTTTAACAATTGAGATTTCATATTTACATATTATGACTCCTACAAAATACTACTAAAACAAACCAAAAACAGTATCTTTAGTAGTTTTAAAAAAATTCTACTAATAAAGTAGTTATTACATTCTTAACCAATAAATAATTCAATAATAACAAATTAACATTCTTACAAATACATACATAGCGCGAATAAAATCAGTGCTACGTATCTCAGATTAAAAAAGTGCTATATTACAAATTATATGCTGCTTAACTAAATAAAGATATTAATTAGGAATCTTAATTTCTTATCGAATTACTTGGATACATGAATCTAAGATCGCTTATTTGGCAACAGTTTCTCTCGATAATTTCTCCTTTTATGTCCCCGAAGCAAATCTAAATGTTGCACGCATAATATATGTATATATGTATATATATATATATCCGAGTGACAAAGTGCTAAAATATATTTTTAAAGAAATAGATACAAAAAAATTAACATAATCACAGTTTTGGTTGGCAGGCTTGCGAGCGAGCGCAGGCATGAATGCATGGACAGGTCCTTTCGACGCAAACACTTTGCTTTTCTTTACATAGCTTTATCACTTGGTCGATAATAGTACTTCAATAGCCTGTTTAGCTCTCCGCATTGACAGATTGAGACTTAAACATAGTCATTTGTTCCAGGACTTGTCAATGGTTCTTGGGCCTGAAAACCGATCACAATATATCGTAAAGTTCTTTAGAAAAAATATTGTAAAATTTTATCCATAAACTTTTGTCCGTAAAAATAAAAGTTTTTGAAATGGAAATGAATTTTTGAAGAAATGCAGACGTAAAAGCATTAAATCTTACCTCCTCCCCAACTGTAGCTGCGGGAAGCGGAAATCTGTTTTTCTCAAGACTGAACTGATCCTCTGTAGTCTTCCTGTAGACGGGGTTATCGAAGTTCATACTAGTAACATTGCGATGAAGATAATGCCTGTAGCAGACTATCGCCACAAGGGCGAGTAGTAGCAGTCCTAAGGACACTACGCCTATCACGATTCCAGCGACTAAACCAGGATCTGTAGATTCAGCTCCTATGCTATCCTTCCCGTCTGCATCCGCTGAGGAAAGTGGATCTAGAAATAGCGCAATTCATTAAAAAAAGTTTCAAGACTGATGTTTGCCTGAATGTTTGATGCAAAGAGATATTTCAAAAACCTTTTTCAAGCATATCTATTATTATAAATTAATACAATCAATTAGTCAAAACTTAATACATTCATTTTTAAACATATATAATAATCACGATTGTAAGAGTATCGTAAAAATTTAAATATATAAAACATCAACTGAGCAATCAACTAGACGATATTTTTATAATATAAAAACATACATGCAGAATATGCACACTCGTATTATATGCAACGCAGCAAGTAAAAGTGCGCTTAATAATACAAAACTAAATATACAAAAATAAATTATTAAAAGAGCTTTAAAATAAGAGTAATCAAATTTACCAGTTAAAATGGAGTCAAATTTGTTAATCAATCAAACATTAATTCAATGTGGCATAGAAATATAAAAATCTTGGCGTAGAATACTAAATAATTTTTGCATACATACAAATACTAAAATTTGCTAAATTAAAAAGGTAAAATTTTCAATTTAATATTCAATTCTTCATTCTTAAGTAATAAAATGATATAAATGCATTTTTAATTTGTAAAACCCAGCATGAAATATGCCCAATTTAAAATTGATATTATGAATCATTCTCAATATTATGAACCTTCATGGATGAAATAGTTAATTAATTCTGCATGTTAGTAGAGACAATTCATTATTCAACTGTGCTATTTCTTAGATAATTATTGTCCCAATTAGTTAAATAATAATTATCTTCATTAATTATATAGTGAAGTAATGTTATTCCAATTAGTTAAATGATTATTACCCCTATTAATTAAATAGTTAAATTATTACCCCAATAAATACAGGGTGTCTCAAAATGATGGGACCAACGCTCGTGGGCGGGTAGAGGAAAGTAAATTGAACAAAAAAATTCTTCAGCGAGCGTTGATTCTATCATTCTGAGACACCCTGTATATGTAACTATGTGTATTACGTATATCCACAAAAATCCGCTTATATGGTGAAAAGTGGCATCCAACCAAACTTACTATCACTCGTAGAAACATTCAGAGGCTGGAGCCTCATGAACGGCTTCGTGGTCGCTTGTGTGGACGGTGCTACGGTCGTAGTAACTGGAATACCCCAAATTCATGCAACACGAATGCAAATAAATGAAATAAAATAAGTAATAAATTCATAACATTCTCGAGCAACTATGAAATATCAGTAAGAATTAATGTATCTATAAATCCTGATCGACTTACATATTAAAAATTTAAATACATACTTCTTGCGTAAACATTTTTATCGCATCCACGCGCTTGCATGTTTTTATTGTACTGTTTTTTTTTACTCGTAAATATATCGTAACATGCAAAATGATATATCGCTAATTGTGTAGCAGTTCCATTAGATATCAGTGTTAATGATTGGATGTGTGTTATTTGTGTGTGTGTGTGCATGTATTAACTTGTAAATGTAAAAAATAGAGGAAGTTGAACGAAAATTGATATCTCGATCGCCTTTCTTATCGGCTTGCACAATAAGCATGAATAAAAATGCTCCAACGGCATGCAACGTTCTCTAAGAATTCAAATTTCAGTCCCATTATGTATTGCGTCGCGAAAGACCCGCGATGAATCGACGAATAGCTTTCCATGATTATCTGTTAATTAAGTCTCTCACATCTCCTCATTTAAAGTGGAATTCAGTTATTTTAAATGTCATCTAAGAAATGCGTAATCGCTCTTACGTCACGCTAGACATATTATTTAGTTCTAAAATAGTCAACACATTAATCTACGCGTCCCTCGTGAATTGATCACCACGGGAAGGCGGTTGAAAATTGCGCGGCAGTGCATGGAAGGTCATTCGTCAATCACAGTATCCTCCCTCATGCTGACTCACCATTTTCCACGCACATCAATCCATCGGGTAATAATCGCAAGCCATCTGGACAGGCGCATGACAACAGCGGTGATCTGGAGTTGATTTTAGGTGCCGGTAAACACAGGTGGCTGCAATGCCCGTTGACGGCCTGGCACTGATTCATCCCGTCGGGCTGTCTGTAAGGGTGATAGACATGGACCACCATCGGATGTTGAAGCGTTCTGATCGACGTTACAGCCTCGACTTCCAGCCCGGTAAACTTGTTAGCTTTGAAGATCGTTTCTTTATCCCAATCGGACCAGTACACGTAATCTTCGAATGTTGTAATGCTGAAAGGATGCCTGAGAGTGACGGGGGAGAAGAGAACCGTTCGTCTGCCCGTGCCGTCGTAATTGCAAGAACCTATGATGTTTAATTTGGCGTCCACCCAATAAACTCTCTTGCCGATCAGGTCTAAAGTTAAGCCATTAGGCCACTTGACATCATTGCCGACAATCACCTGTAATAGATTTCTGTTAGAAATCGAGACGGATAATTCGAGAAATGTGCATTTTGTTAATAACTTTAGTCATTTTTCTAAAAATTATATTCCACAAAAATCATTAATTTTAAAAATACGCAAGATTAAAAAAAGATTTTAAAAAAGTTAAACATATATATGTATAATCGTCTAATGGGTAAAAAGTTTTTAATTATGAATCTCTTTGTTGGTTGAAACAATGATAAAAAGAAGTAACTTCCTCGATAATTTAAATTAGGGAAGTTTGTAGCGCTTAAAGAGTAATAATTTTAAAATATCAGTAATGGATATTTTTAATTAATATAAGCAGCTTCAGTTTCCTACCGATCGATGAGTGCCATCCATGCCAGCCCGTTCAATGCGAGCCTCATCGCTCCAGTCCGTCCAGAACATCCAGCCTTCCAAAGGATTCAGCGCTATCGCTCTAGGTTCTTGAATGCGATCTCGTATCAGAGTCTTCCTCATGTTTCCTTCAAAATTGGCTAATTCGATGGTATCCTTCCCGGAATCTGTCCAATAAATGTGACTGTAAATCCAATCAACTGCCAATCCGTCTGACGTGGTAAGATCATTCTCGATAACGACCGTGCGCTCATTGCCTTCGTCGATTGGAGCTCTAAACATATCATTCGATTATATTCTTTCATCAAAAAAAGAAAATTCCCAGCTGCAATTACGACTTACTTGTAAATTTTTTTCTCGCTGACGTCGCTCCAGAAGATCATCCCGGTACGAAAGACAAAGTCTAAAGCTGTTGCCATTTTGGTGTTGTTTACGATGGCGGTCATTTCCTGGCGGTCCAGAGCTACTTTTCGGATGTCGTGTCGACGGGCGAATAATAAACTCGCGTGACCCTCCGCGGCTTTGCAGCGTGTTGAATTGCGCGGATCTCTAAGATAACCTGGGGCGCAGTTGCACTTGAAACCGCCTTTCTCATTCTGGCAAAACTGAGAACAGCTGCCAGGCTCCAAACATTCGTCGATATCTGAAAGATGAAACACTTCATAATTCAAACAGTCGCTGAGACTTGGCGAAGATCGATGAAAGATAACAAGTCTTAAGAAATTAACGCATCGACAACATTTAAAAATTCAACGAATGCTGTTCTCTTACCATCGCATGTGCGATTGTCAATGAGTCTGTATCCCGGTTGGCAGTCGCATCGGTAACCGATAGGCAGATCGACGCAAATCTGCGAGCATCCACCATTATTTTTCGCGCACTCGTTCACACCGCAGAGTTCCTCGTTCTCGTCCTCCGAGCCGATGCAATCTGGATATTTGTTGCAGACCCTATTCAGGGGAATGCATGAGCCTTTTCCGCATTTGAACTGAGTCTGTGGATCGCAGACTTCGATTTTGCTCGTGCAATTCTTCTCGTCGCTTCCGTCAGCGCATTCGGCTTTGCCATTGCAGTACAGATAACCTAAATAAAAGAATCGTTAAAAATCCGAAAAAGACCGATTATCGCATAAAACGCTTTAAATGTATGATTAAGAAAGTCATGTTTTACATTTCAAAATTCTTGAAATTAATGTCCAATAGTCAAGTTAAAAAACTAAAAATATATTTCTGTTAAACTCTAGACGATTTATAATTCGTGAGAGAATTCTATTGATAATTTTGCAAACTGCGTAATGCAAACAGCGATTTGAAAAATCAAAACATATGTATAAAAAATATATCACTAATGTATATTTTATGTATTCCAATTTTTTGAATCTTTTATTATATAAAAGTATAGATTTCTGTTTTAAATTCTGCCAAAAGTGGACTGGAACATTGATAGCACAATGAAACGACAAGAACAAAATAATCTTGAGCTTAAGAAGAGATTAGATAAAAGTCATCAGTATAAAAATGTAAAGTATAAAGTAATTTAATTAAATTAAATTTAATTAAAATAATTTGTAGATAAAAAACTATTTTACAATAATTATCGTAAAATCAAGTTTTAGCACATCATCAATTAAACGATATTTTTGTTTGACTTGTCATTAGTAATTCTGTGATTAATTCAACATTTGGATTGTACCAATTTTATTTCAAATATTCAAAGTACCTGGGATGCAAGAACGTCGATCTTCGCACTGAAATTGATCGGGTCTGCAGGTGACATTCTGACATCTCTGTGGGGATTCGTCCGCACCATTTGGACAGTCTTTCTCGCCATCGCACACCCAAGTCTGGTGGATACAAGTTACGCCATCATCGCAATCAAACTCCTTGTCGCAGTGGCTTATCTTCTTTCCAGCCGGAGGTTCCTAGAAACATAAATTTCAAGAAATGTTAGATTATATCTCACAGTATTATATAAACTACAAATTGCAGACATATTTCTTGAATTTCCTTTCAAGCAAACAAAAAAAAAAAGTTGTAATTTATATAAATTTCTTTTATATTTTTGATGAAATTAGCCGATAAAGATTGAGAGTAGCTAAGAAATACCTTGCATCCTGTTTCGTCAGATCGATCAGGACAATCGTAATCGCCATCGCATCTCCACCGCGATGTTATGCAATAATCCTCGGAACACGCAAAATCAGTGTCAGGATTACAAGTAATCGGCCCGCAATCCTTCTCGTCACTGTTGTCTCCACAATCGTTATCGTTGTCGCAGACCCACAGTTGCTGGATGCAATGCTTATTCGCGCAGGTAAACTCGTCCGACCGGCAAGTGTCGTCTGGGGCAAAACATTTTCATGTTTCAGAGTTGTGAAATGATCCGCTCGCAATAAAAATTCTCTTCGCGGAACGACGTCGGTCTTAATAGAAAAGTTAACGGTTGATCAACGTAGAAGCACAAAGCTTATTGAAGTAATTCCATATTTTCAGTCAATAATTAAAAATGTTCACTTATTATTGCAAATATTTGTCATATCACAAAACTCTTTTAACATAAACACAGAATTTATAGAAAAATAAAAACAAAAAATAAAAAAAAGTTACAAATAATACAATAATTACAATTAACTTTGGCAAAATCAACATAAATAATGCTCACAACAATACAGAATGTACCAATAATTGTATAAAAATGCAAATAATTGCATATTTCTATAAATAATTGCAATAATAATAAAAACACGTAAGATAACCATTCGTAGGATATGATTTGGAATTCAGCATTACAAATTAATCATTTATAATATAATGTAATAATTTCAATATGTTATGTGGAAAACGTAATATGATATCAGCTGATCCGATAACCCTTCGCGATATTTTTATTCATTTTTGCAATAGCTCTAAATTTTTTTTTTACAATAAGAGATTACATGACGCCGTTTAAGCATTATTACGCTCTGCTAACAAACTTCCTCTTATAATAATTAATAAAGGTTCATCGTTGAGCTTGATATTGTCATGATTTCTTAAATAAAATAAAATTTTAATTTTTTTATACATAGATTATTTTTTAGATCACATTTATAGTGAAACAAGTATCACTGCTTCCGTAAACATAAAAGTGCTTGAACTTTAAGTAAGCCACATTAGGTTGAGTTACCTTGTTATTAATCGCTAATTGTAATAGGGAAATTAATTATTGACTGAGAAATATATATCATACCTTAATCAACAACATTCAACGTGAACGTGTAATTTGGATAACGCTACAAAGATCTATGCTGCGATAAGAACAACACAGATTCACGAAGCTTTAACGACTTGCGCGCAAATACCACTCCGGGAAGAAACGCCTTAATTAAATAAATTAGATGTGGAAAAAGAATTTCCTTTTTTTTCCTCGACCGTGCTGTTACTGAATTATATAATCGATCACTTGCGCTCTCAAAGAGACAAGTTCCGCAGGAAATCAGAAGTTTCTGATAGTCACTTGAGTAATTTCAAGTGGGATAATTATCTACTCTCCGAGCGATATCCACGACACGACTTAACATCTTATAAAAAAAGCTATCTAAATTGCATGCTTTACATAATTGAGAATTTTCTCAATAGAAAAAGAAAACAAGATAATAAACATGGTAAGATACTTACGCTTAACGTCAAAGATGTATTTACATCAAAATAAAAGATAAAATTAATTACAGAGCACAGCAATTGGATCGTGGATAATATTCGTTTCCGCGTCAATAATTCCTCACTCGTGTGAATTCGCTTCTGCGCTGGTTCGATAATGCCGATTTAATAATACAAATAAATGAAAAGTGGTAAAGAGATAAAAAAAAATGCCCGAAATAATTAAAGATGTATTTACAAGAGATTTTTCAATTTTGCACAAAATTTCCAGCAAATTTTATTTCCCGCGTGATCCAATGATTTCACCCACCATCAATTCCTGCGAATCTTAACATTATTGACCGACAAAGTAGCAAGGAAAGAAAGATCGGCGAAAATCAACGGCGCTACGGAAACAACTTCAATAAACAAATATAATAATTGTTATTTATAAAAATATAATGAAACGTGACTTGTGCAACTTATTTTTAAGATTTAAAGATATGGTATGATGTGTGTATTTAAAGCGTCGTTTAAAGCACCTATAATTATTTTTAAGTCGCCATTTATATTGTTTCGTTACAGATTCACACATGCGATTAGTTACAAGCCGTCACCTAAGTAATCCTTATCAGTCAAAATCGATATTAGTTCGCTCCGAGAAAGTTCCACTCAATCATCAATTTAATTGCTATTTGATAATAAATTTACAAGATGGATACAGAACAAATTAGCAAAGTTTTTCATCGAAAGTAATTAAAAAAAAAAAAAAAAAAATACGAAGAGTTAGTTTGAAAAGTACAAAATTATATAGCGGAATAATCAATTTCCGAACTTCTATATTGTTTTCTATTAAAAACAGCACTAATTTTATTCCGCACATAATGTCCAGATGACTGACAGTGTTATAATTACCTATCGCACATCATATTGAATGTATATAATAGTGATTTTATTCATAGCGTTTCTAAATATATGAGTTTCAAAGTTCAAGCAAATCGTATCTTTAAAGTATTACATAAGATCTTAAAATAAATAAAATAATTTCCTGATTATTAATAAAATAGTGTAATAAAGATTTCCGATTAAATACATTTTCCAGAGATGCATAGGTCAATGTAAGTTACAGTTCATGCATATACATATAAATAAAAGATTTCATCCCAGCTATTCATCTCTGACGGATGATTGCGGCGTGCAAAATGTGATGAAACATAGATAAAAAAGAGAGTGCAAAAACGGATAAAGTAGCCTATGTGCAGAAGCTTACTGCACTCAGCCTCGTCTGAACCGTCCGAACAGTCCGGGTTGTCATCGCACATCCATGTTAATGCCACGCACTCCCCATTGCCCGAATGACACGTGAATTGTTCCGGCGTGCAGGTCTTGGTCCCTACAAGACATGATAATTCCGTTGGACCGATTTGTACGCGACTATTCAACATTCACGAGGACACGGGTCCTCCAAAGTAAATTCTGTGAGTCAGATATTCGGTTGAGATTTTGAAAAACAAGATTCTTGCATCGAGAGCAATAACAGCTTTTAACAGCATATGTAAAAATAACATTACGTCGGTTAAATAATTTGAGAATTCAAATTCCGTATTGCTTCTATAAAAATTGAAATTAGATTATACATAATTTTCAGTCGAAAAATGTAACAGCATCAATTTCATAAAAATTTACACCGAAATTGTCGTTTAAAGATTTAGTTATGCTTGCAAACAACGTTCTGTAAAAGCACTACACATTCTATTGATTAGTAATTGAGGTAGGTATAAATGGCACTAAATGATACTAAACGGGAACAAATGATAATTATTGCGCTTCGTGAAATTACGTTAATTTTTGCCACATCATAATTTTATTACTATCGATTTCGCGAATTTACGCCCGTACTTGTTATTACCTCATTTCCCAAAATTATTGTACCGAATAACGTAATTTCCTGTTAATTCGCGTACTTGCCATTATTTCATGTACATATTCGCATGCAGTTAATGAACCGAAAACCCAGTTCCATCGTTTTCGCAAACGAAGAAACGTATCGGGCATCGGGATGCAATCTGCGATTCCGCAATTTTGCGCACTGCTCGTTTGTTCCGTAGCTTTCCGGTTGATCCCGTTTCTCCTTGGCTGCTTTCCGGTAATACCTACACGCTAAAGTGTCCTATCCGCGCGACTTACTGTGACAGTTCTTCTCGTCGAGACCGTTGGTGCAATCCACCTGGTGGTCGCATAGCCAGTTCTTCGGGATGCACTCGTTCAGACTGCATTGAAATTCCGTTTCGCTGCACGGTACCGTTCCTTTTTTTTTCAAATGTTTACGATTAACGATTTTTCATAAATCGTGACTCTTACGAGATTACACTTCTATTTAATATAATCGATACATTGGCGAAAGATAATAATATCTCACACAAATCTAAAAGACGCGCCTGAGAGACACGATGTTTTGTAGATATTTTGTATAAATTGCACTATTTTATTTATTGCAGCTGTATGCAATTTGGAAGATTTCAATTTCACGTTTCCGTTAAATCTAATAATTTAGAAATAAAGATTAGATTACTTTCGCTAACAGTATCGATGCCAAAACGTTAGAATACCACTGTAGAATACCAGAAACAAAGTATTGATGTTTCGATACTATATCAATGCATAGCAATGCCTGGTAAACGAAATACTCGCCGACCTTTGAAATTCGGCGCATTAGCATGCTGCTGTTTTCAGTTTCAAGTTGAAATAAAAGAGTTACGTACGCGATCATGTTTCATATGAATATTTCACGGAACATTGAGATAACTTTTCATTTTGCAAAATAATATCGCGTATGTAATGTTATACAGAGCGTCCCTCATTAAAAGCAGTTTCTTTCGAATTTATTTAAAAAAAGTGTATCATTTATCGCAATTTTTCATTATTTAACATTATCCATCTCTTTTCCACAAAATTTTCCAAAATTCCATGGAAGTTCTATTTCAAAAGAAATATACGCATAACATATATTTGAAACTAACTAAAAATTAGATTTCATAATTTATTTATTCCTCTGCTGTTAATAATGATAATAATCTAATTAATGTAAAGCGCGATAAAATAATTCACTGCATTGTCGCTCATTAAATAGATGGAAAATGAAGTTCGCTGATTGCGCGTTTGAAAGACCGTAACGATGATTGATAGTTTTTTGGAAAGACTATCGTTTTACATATTCCAATATACGTCAACGATAAAACTCGATCACCCTCTGTTATATAATTGAAGTGGACTTTTAATGATCCGCGATCGCCATTTCCATCATAATTAAAATGATTAAATGCATGCGTGATTATGTCGGTCAAAAGGGCTTTTGCGTCAGCATGCGGTAATTAACATTAAACGCGCATTCTAGTATGTAATTACGATCGTCGTTATGATCTTCAAGAATCAACCGGATACGATTAAATTATTCGATTGAAATCAATGCCGCTCTTAGAATATATTCAAGATAGAAACAAATGCAAATATATACGACGGACCCACAAAACGACCCCGGCATTTTGCAATTGTAATTACAAAAAAGAAACGAAACGCAAGTCTCAATATATTCGTCGACGATTTCATCAAATATAATCGAATTATAATATCATAATCCAATGTTCTGCAGAAATAAAAAGTACTCCCGACAACGAGGGATACACTGCATGTCAATACATTACATCCGCATGAAACCGGTCTCCGAAGTTGCACTTTCACATACCAGGACCCTTTACAGTCCGGGACGCACTACATTCGGCAAATTCATTTTATCGGTTAACGTGTTAATAATATTACTCGTAAAAAATTAATAGACTCCTGTTATTTTTACAGATTTATATCTTAATGAAAAATGCGAGAGAAAAAAACAGCGTGCATAAATTTTCTTATGAAACATTATTATAAAATGTCCAAAGACCGTTTCGCAACTCTGCTTTTATAAAATCAAGTTTATCGAGCTTATAAAAGGTAATTAGGTTTTCATAGACAACACGTAAATTATTAGTTTCATGTTCGCTGTATACATGTGCAAAAAGGCGAATAATGCTAATAAAAATATTTTATAGGCAGTGGAGAGATCTTAATTTCATATCCGTTCTACCGTAGCAAATATTAAATCCGCGATTGAGCCAGCTATTAAATACCGGTTGTTTTGCCCGGCAATTAATCTTCAAAATGTATTTTTTACCAAGAATTTCCGAATAATGCTTTCCGCTAGGAAATTAATTAAAAGCTATTCGCATTATGGAATGTTTGCTGCGATTATTAAGACGTGGCACTTAACGAATTTTGATCCAAAATAAGTAATTTCGTAATCGTATAAATATTTAAAATTGTCGAAATTCTCAAATAAATTTCGACATATTAGCGAATAAAAATTGTCAATCAAGAATTTTTTTAATAAATCTTTTTAGGAAACTAACGATATATTTATTATCAAAAATTTGCAACTCACTGCAGACAGCAGGATCCTCATCTGCGCCGTCCGGACAATCTCGGTCGCCGTCGCAATGCCATATATTGGGTATGCATCGGCCATTGGTGCACTTGAAGTCTGACTCCTTGCACTCCTGGGTGTCTGAAATGTTCACAGGCGAATGATGAATAGCGCCGATCGGAAGAATAATCGCGCATACGAGTTGTAACAGAATGCACCGAAACGCATTCAAGAAGCGCGTCGAACTTCTACCGCCGAACTGCATCGTCGCGTTCTATTCGTCGCCTGAATTGTATCACTCGAAATCGCTCGCCGCGCGTACAATTCTGCGATGCACTCGAAAGAAACTCGGTGTCCTGATTAAAAAGTGAACTTTTCGCACGAATCGCAGTCCATTTTTGTGGAAATTAAATTATAAAACTGCAGTCTCGATAAATAATCCTTTGCGGGATCCTTTATCATCAAAACGCGGTCGTTTATCACTTATTATTTCATCGATCGACGAGACGACCGCGCTATTATTACGCTTTATTATTAATCTCCTCTCGAAATGCAAAAAAATGTTCTATTTAGACGCCATTATAACGCGTCGAGACTCTCAAGCGAGATTCGTTCGGCAGCAGTTTGCTCAAGTCTGCAAAATTATCACTGGTGTCGCTAATAAAATCCCACTGGCGTATATTGCTCAACAAAAATGTCTATTATTTAAACTTTTCACCCTTTCCGCGCGCGGAGAGCGAGTTGAAAGCACCAGAAGAAAGATTCGTCGGATCGCGAACGCGTTTCGCAACTGTACATTCCACGCGCGCGGCGATAAAGCGGCACACAGCTTGCACCTGCCGATGCACTCGCGTTCGCGGCGGCTGCAGATTCTGTAAGGCTACAGATCGCAAAGGGGCGCCTATATATGGACCTGGGCACACACGCGGCAGCAACGGCAGAAGGGAGTAAGGGAAGCGCGAATCAAAGGCGCGACTGTTGCGGATCCTTGTTGCGTGTCTGGCACATTTTGCCTTTTGCCGTTTTTCCTGAATCGCACGTGGGGAAATCGCGCACGCCCCGGCCGCGGACAGATCGAGGACTTCGCATCGAGCCCCTAATCGGTTGGAAACGATTCCGCCTCGCGAAAGAGTGAAAAGATTCAAGTCGCAACACAGCGTGTTTGTGCGCTCTTGAGCTAACAAAGGATTTCTTTCATATATTATCGTTCTCAAAAAATTATTTTTATTTACGTTATTAATTATAAAATTACTATTAGTTAGATTTACCAAAGTTTTCTAAACAATTTACTTTTTTTTAAATCGAGCTCATGCAGCTCGGACAGTGCCAGACAGCAAACTTGTACTGCTTTGTACCTTGTGTAAAAATACTTTTATTTAATTCTTATTAAATGTATTTATTGTATTAATATTATCGATTACACATCAACGTTATATAAATAGACGTAGATAACACGTCATTTTATAATTTAAAGTCATCGATATATTAATCGCACGCGACAAAAATTAAAGAAACTTTTAAATTATTAGCTACTTTTAATTACTTCTAAAAGAAGAATGGTTATATTAATGGTATTGTTAAATAAAAATCGATCAAACAATTCCGAAGATAAAAAAGTTATCCAACAGATTAAGAACGTTCTATATAAGCTAGCTTATATGTATAATTATCCTTATTTTCTCATTTTTAAATTAAACAATGAATATTTTAATCACAAAAATATTTAAAATATAAATTTTTTATAGCCACGTTCTTCCGTCATGCATAGAAAAATATTTCATTTTAAGAGACAATGGCAGAGACTGAATTTTCTTTTTCATACGCATGATAAATTTAACCATTTTCGAGCATTGCTTTTTAAAAAAACAAAGTTTTATACATATATATATATATATTTGTTACTTTGAGTAGCATGAGATCTGCGGAACAAATATAAGGATTAAATTTCCTACATGTTCGAGCCGAAACGAAATATGCCACGCCAACATTTAAGTTGACTAAATACGTCAGCTCAGCGTATGCGCAAAACACGTTGATCTCGACTATTCGTCACTTTGCGGAGTAATTTAATTTCCAAGCTTTTTTATTTCAAAACTTGGAAAAAAAATTTGCAGCGCGTCCCAGCTTGCGCTTGGTTCGTATTCTTTGCTCCTACATTAGTTTATTACTTTTAAACACATTTTTCACACGACTGTAAAATATAGAGTGACTATTTCTAGCGTCTACTAACTGTAATCGATGGTTAAAGTTAATCCACGCTAGAAATAGTCACCCATAGTTTCAAAATAGTATAAAAGCATTCAAAATAATACATAGAACAGACTAACAATAAGAAAAGTTTTCCATTCCGTTTACTTCGCAGCCGATTGATTTATGGGAGAAATATCGAAATAGATAATTTTGTGTTCAAAGGAAGCGTACGACATTATACAGAAACGAAAACAAAATTGATTCATCTCGATATTTTTCGTGTAAGTCAGTTGGTTACAAATTAAACAGGACAGTTTTCTTTTGTCCAATCTGTGTAAAGAGAGGAACGTGTGCATCTATCATCTGCGTGATATATGAAGTTTTATATTGCGTATATTGCGAGAAAGGCAAATAAAAATCACTGTGAGAGAGCTATCCCGTTTCAAAAAGAATTCTCTAGCTGCTCCTCGCAAAGTTACACAGCTGTTGAAGCAGCACGGTCTGTTGACGCAAAAATTTGCATGACGTTTCTGGTTACACTCATCTCGCGATTCTTTTGCCATTCGACGTTGATATGCATTGTCAAAGAATTACGCAAACCCGTATTCCCGTACACAAAAGCAGCGCTTTTACGCGATCGTAATGCGCGAATAAAGTACAAAGCATCATCATTTCTCAAGAATGTATTCAGAATATAATGCGTGTGCTGGCATAACGATAACACGAAGATAGCATCGATAACGCAGCGCAAAATCTAGGAAGTAGCACAACGAAAGATATTGGCGGACTTCAGAAAGTTATCGGCGTTATGTAAACGAAAGCATGTAATTGATAATAAATTTATTTATCGTCGCCTAAGTTTTCACTTAGATTCGAAGCAGACGCACTTTTATGAGATTTAATAATTTAAGATTCAATACAAGATTTAATTACAGATCCATTTAATCCTGCTGTTCCGTTTCTTTTTGTACAAACGTTTAACGTTTGGACATCCTTTCCTTTACGTTCGCAAATTAAAATGGATGCCTATACTACACGCATACATTATAGCAAAATTTTAATTAACGTATTTGTTTCTTTAAACTGCATATGTATAAATATATATAAATATATTTAAATACATTAAAAAGTTTTAATGTGTGTAACACATTTAAATATACAAAATATTAAAAAAATATAAAACCATGAAATTTAAAAACACGACAAACATTACGGAATTAACATATTTAAAAGACAAAAGTAAGTCGAACGCAGCAGCAGATTTAACATTACAAGTTGAAAAAAATACGATAAATTTTTGATACTTCCATTAAAAAGAAATTAACCGCTAATAATCTTTTATTCCTATTTTTTTTCAAATTCCAGAAAACATTTCATTGATATTTAATCCATTTTTATTATAGGATCCACATGGAATATTAAAAAATAATAAAATTGCTTCGATTGAACAGCTGGAGACAATCAAAGAGCTGAATGACGCTTTGTTTGCAAAAACACGATTCTGAGATATTTGCATCTAAAGTTTATGGCGTCGAATGAATAAATGAATGTTGTCTGCCACCGAACGATCAATATGCAATAAATTAGAATGCAATATTCAATATATAGATTTATACAATATGCAATCCATGCATATACAACATAAGTCGACTGTCGATTCGTTACTCCTTTTTCACGTTTAGTTTTATCTATTCATTGTTATTAAAAATGTTATACAGCTTTCCTTAAACAATCCGTAACTATTTGCAATCAGCGGTCATCATCGTTAACTAATTAGTTACACGAATCATGAATATAAAGAAATATTTAAAAATTTTAAAAGTCCTGTAATATTTGAAAAAAAATGTCGATGATCTTTGAAATGAACGATTAAGAAAGCGCGAATACTTTTGTAGTACACTGTAGCCACTACACGTGCATGCATACGCACGCAAAATGAAGCGTACGCACAAAGTGCGGTGAGTTGGCGTGGCCCGTTAAAAGGTGGGACGTACGCGAGACAAGATCGCGACCAGTTTCCGACCGTAAGAATCTCGTCCCGCATCGCATCTCTGATTAAGTGCAGCCGTCTCGTCATTCCCTTTTCACGCGCTTGACTTACTGTCGTGTGACTAGATCCGCGCTCTATCAGCGATCTCTCGGTTGTCCGAGATATTTCCACGCGAATCGATCAATCTGTTTCTGATTGAACTCGCAATACTGACGTGTCTTTAAATAACGAGAGTATTTCATATTTTAACAGACTGCTAAATTAAGATCAAAAACAAAAATGTATTCAAATTTGTAGCAAATTATCAAGCTTTGTTATATAGAAAAAGACATATTGATTTATTTTGGAAATTTTTTTTTCCAAAGATAAAAGTGCAAATTTTATATTTCCGATCAATTTCAGAGCACACTCTATACATTTCCGCCGATAGCGAGAAGCTACGTGGACGAATTAATTGAAACTATGTGTCACGAGGCTGCCCATTGTATTCACATGGACTAATTTATTGGATCTCGAGTTGCAGCGTGCCGTTTAAATTTAATACAACGACGGGGAAATGCCCAGCGTTTTACAGCGCCAGTATTCTCCAATCGATTACGAATCGACAAAAAGCCGTCCGATATATTCTTCGCGTGGAAAAAGGTCGAGCGGCATTTTACGTAATCCGTTCGCGAGACAGGACGCGTAAAGTCAGAAGTTGCGCGATGATAAAAAATTAATAACGATTTTGTTCTCTCGCTGCGCGACGCCATTCTCGTTACTGGGTCATTGGTCGCGCCCGAAATGCATTGTGATGGGAGAGCGCGCAGAGTTTTGCGGACAGTATCGCGAGAGTTAAACGCGCAAATGATTAATTAATGTACGTCATGTAATTATTGTATCAAATTACGCGGTGATTATTGCGCCGCGGGTTGTTGTCGCATAATAATCCATGCATTTTCCAAGCCGGTAATATTAGACA